GGTTGGGCTGGGCTTGGGTGCATGCGCGTAATGTGAGGTTGGGTTGGGCTTGTCCGGCCCAATATCTATCTTTTTGGGCCAAAAACATTTGAATTTATTTTTTAATTTTTGAAAAATAAATTTTGACCGTTTGAATTCAAATTTTGGTCCGAAAATTTGCACCATTCTGTTTGAAATTTGTCTGTTCCGTTTGCACAGATTTCAAATCTGTCCGTCACAGTTCAAAAAACCCCTACCTGTTTAATTTAAAATTCAAACAGATTTGTATCTATTTAATTTAAACTAAACAGGTACTATACCTATTGGATTCAAAACTAAGAGGCACCATTGCACCTATAAATAGACTAGTCCTCACTTGTATTCTCCATTCAATTTTTGTCTAGAAAAAATACTGCATTACTCTCTACATTTTGCTGCATTATTTTTCTTGTGAGAAAGTAAATAAACACATAGTATGCTCGTTGTACGAAAAATTTGTAGTGCTGCAATTTTTCTTTGTTGATCATTTTATCCTGGGAGATAGACGTCCATAATCTGAAAGCACTTTGGAGAGGACGAATCTGTCTTAAGGATACAGTGTTAAACACTGGACCTGATCAAAAATTTGTTCAAGAAATTAATCAAGTATGTTGTTAATTTATTTTCTAATTTATTATTTTTTCTGTTTCAGAGTTTTCATTTTGTTTTTGAAACAAAAATAAAAAATATGTTTTTGTTTTTATTTATTTTATTTTCTAGTTTGATTTTTGTAATCAAACATTCTCCCTCCTTTCTTTTATTTCGTTTGTTTGTTGTTAAGTACACAAACTTAAATTATTCGGTATACAGTGAAGATTGTCCAACACATGGTACTCGCACCAATGAGTATTTCATACCAAATACTCCTGTAGATGTGATGGATCCACATGGGACCCACTTCGTACTAAATACTCTCGCGAGTATGGGACCTTCACTAATCAGTATTTTCTACTAAATATTCACGTGGGTATGGGATTCACACAAATGAACATTTTGTACCAAATACTCATGTGAGTGTGATGGATCCACATGGGGCCCACTTCGTATAACATATTCACGTGGGTGTGAGACCTATACAAATGAACATTTTTAACCAAATACTCACGTGAGTATGGGACCACACTACATGAACTCACATGGGCCCACACCAATGAGTATTTTGTACCAAATACTCGCGTAGGTGTGATGGATCCACATGGGGCCCACTTCATACTAAATACTCTTTTGAGTATAAGACCTACACTAATCAGTATTTTGTACTAAATACTCACGTGGGTGTGAGATCTACATAAATGAGCATTTTGTACCAAATACTCACGTGATTGTGATGGATCCACATAGGGCCCACTCCATACTAAATACTCGCGTGGGTGTAGGACCCACACAAATGAGCATTTTGTACCAAATACTTACGTAAGTATGGGACCACAATACATGAACTCACATTGGCCCACACCAATGAGTATTTTGTACTAAATACTCTTATGAGCGTAGGACTCAGACTACATGGTAACAACCAATCATAATTCTGTACTAAATACTGATGTGGATGTGAGATCCACACTACATGGGACCCACACCAATGAGTATTTTGTACCAAATACTCACGTAAGTGTGATGGATGCACATGGAACCCACTTCGTACTAAAACTCTCGTGAGTATAGGACCTACACTAATTAGTATTTTGTATTAACTACTCACGTGGGTGTGAGATCTACACAAATAAGCATTTTGTGCAAAATACTTATCTGAGTGTGATGGATTTATATGGGGCCTACTTCGTACTAATACTCATATGGGTGTGGGACCCATACAAATGAGCATTCTGTATCAAATACTCATGTGAGTGTGAGACTACACTACATGAACTCACATGGGATCCACACTAATAAGTATTTTGTACTAAATATTATCGTGAGTGTGGGATCTACATCAATGAGTATTTTGTATCAAATATTTACGTGGATTTGGAACCACACTATATGGATCCATATAGGGTCCATTTTGTACTAAATATTCTCGTGGGTGTGGGACCCACACTATATGGAACCCACACCAATAAGTATTTTGTACCAAATACTCACGTGGGCAGAGGCGGAAGGAAGGAGGGCCTAGGAGGGTCACGTGCCCCCCTTGAGTTTTGGATTTTTTTTTTAATACAAACATAAAGAAAATATTTTATATAAAAAAATTTATAAAAATATTATTTTGAGTGAAATGTCAATGATATTTTAAAAATTATAAGAACATTAATGATTGTTTTGATTAAAAATAAAGAGACTGCGATATTATTATCTATGAAAATTTCAATATAATGGTGATCTGTATCATTATTGATATACAGACATAATTAATCTCAATGAAAATATAGAATTTATTGAATTGTTAGTTACATTTAATATGCATGGTTCATCCTCCATGTGTTTCTTTATTATTGGTTGATAATATCACATGTCAATGATTGCGTGGTATGACTATTATATTGAATTTTTACGCACATTTTGTATAAAAATTACTTTATCATTATATAATTTATTTTAAAACTTTATATCCATGACTTTTTTTAATGTTGTCCATGATATACTAATTACAAATAACATATTCACTTTGTTTGGTTTGAGTTTTTTAAAAACACTTTTCAAAAACTTCTACGTTTTTATTTTTCGTATTTTTTTTGTTTTTATTGAATTTTTTAATATTTTAAGCATTTTTTTAAATTTTTAGACACACCTAACATAAATATACTTAATAAGTATAATTTTTGTAAAAAAATCTTTAAAAAATTCACTAAGTACCAAAAATATAAAAAAAAATACAAAAAATCAGTATATTTTTTTCATATTTTTATGTATTTATTAATTTTTTAAAATATTTTTCACAAAATTTTTTTTTTTTAGATCATCATGCATCTAAAAAAGTAAAAAAAAAAATGCTTAAAATTTTAAAAATATTCACTAAAAAAAAAAAAAACTTAATTTTCAAAAAACTTAATTCAAAAAAATCAAACCAAACACACTGATTATTTTTTTTTATCTTTCTTGAAGTCAATCGTAAAAATTTATGTGAAATATTTTTGTAAATATTTTCAATGTTGTAATTAAGAAGTGCCCCTTCTGATTTATTTTCTTGGCTCTGCCACTGCACGTGGGTGTGAGATTCACACAAATGAACATTTTGTACCAAATACTCACGTGAGTGTGGAACCACACTACATGAACTCACATAGGGCCCACACTAATGAGTATTTGATACTAAATACTTTCGTGAGCATGGGACCTACATCAATGAGTATTTTGTACCAAATACTCACGTGGATCTGGGACTCACACTCCATGAATCCACATTGGGTCTATTTTGTACTAAATACTCTCGTGAGTATGAGACCCACACCAATGTGTATTTTGTACTAAGTACTCACGTGAGTGTGAGACCCATAGTACATGGAACCCACACAAATGAGTATTTTGTACTAAGAGTTTATTTGGCATCTCCCAAATAAGTGTATTTTGATAAGTGCACTTATTTGAGTCACATCATTTCTTTATTTTTTTACATATATATATTTTTTTATAAAAAAATACACTTATTTAGATCATTATAAACAACATCTAAATACTCATGTGAATGTGAGACCCACACTACATAGAACCCATACCAATAGATATTTTATCAAAAATGCTAGAGACCCCAAAAATTTTATCAAAAGTTTACCAAATGTCTCACATGGGTGTGAGACCTGATGAGATTCACATTGTGTGGGTCCCGTACTAATGTGAGACATTTGATAAAAAAATTTGATAGAATTTTTGAAATTTCTAACATTACTCATATTTTATATTAAATACACATATAGGTCATATACCCACGAGTACTTAGTACAAAATACATGAAACCTATACAAATAAATATTTTGTATTAAATACTCATGTGGATCATACACCTACTTGAATATAGTACAAAAGGAAAATGAGTGGGAGCACTAATTAGTGCTACCACTAATGATGTAGCAGTAGGCCCCACCATGAATGATTTGATGTTTTAGCCTTGGTGTTGTATTTTTTTTCTTTTTTTATTGAGTGCCATATCATTAGTGGTCTTTTTAGAGCTTCAAAATTAGTGGTCTCTATCATTGTTGAGTACAAAATATTTGTTAGTGTAAGTCCCGCACTCACAAAAATATTTAGTACAAAATTTAGTATGTGTTTGGGATAAATTAAAAAAATGCATTTTTTTTTTAGTAATGTTAGAGATTTCTAGCATTTTTGTTTTTTTACTTACATATACTTATTTAAGTCACATCAATCAACATTTATCTATATCTCTTTTCTACTTTTCTAACTACTTTCTTTATTTTTTTATAATTTTTTTTAAAAAAAATTAAAAAATATACCTACTCAGAACACCCAAACCACTCCCTTAATTTAGAAAGCATTTAATAACTATGTGCTGTTTTGGGAAGCGCCAAAAAAAAGGCACGGTTTTTTTATCATTTTTTTTAAATGCAAGTAGCCAAAAACGTAACAAATTTGGTTTGGGAAGGATTAAAAACGCAGGTGTAAAATTACAAATTAGGCCCTATGACAAAAAAGTTTTAAAAAAAATTTCTTATGTTGGATAAAAGAATTTTGGTCATTTTAATTTGATTTGACACCATAAATAAATATTAAACTAAAAAGTAAAAAATTTGTTTTTTTCGAACTTTCCAAATTACTTTCTAAAAAGCTAAAAAACTTATAAAAAGTCAAAAGTCATTTTTTTACTAACTTCTCAAAACACTCATATATATATATATATATATATATATATTTTTTTAAGTTCTCCTACCCCTGAAAATAATAAAGGCATTTAACTGACGAGGACATTCTGGTCATTTCACAACAACCAGAAAAAAAAATCCCTTTCGCAATTCTCGAGAGAAGCCGAACCAGGTCTCAGCTTCTTCGCTTCGATACAAAAGAGTTTGTTTCAACTTTCATTTTTTGGCCCTTTTCTGGTCTCACTCACTCTCTTTCTCTATTCCTCTCTCTCTCTCTCTCTCTCTCTCTCTCATATACGTTACGTTTCGCCTCTTCGCGAGAGAAATACTCAGTCGGTGCTCTGGAATCAAAGCCAGTCCTGTTCTTAAAACCTCTTCTCTCGATCTCCAATCTCTCTCTCTCTCTCTCTCTCTGTCTAAAATTTCTCTTTTTCTTTTCTCTCTCATCTCGCATTTCATCTTCCAAAGATCGAAACTTTTTGTTTTCGTATCTGTATAATGCCTTTTCTACTTCCCAGAATTGAATCGAATTCAACTTCTTCAAAACCAATTGTTTAAAAACAATGGAGTTCGCAACAAAATTACCCGAACCCGACACCAATGCTCGACCCGGGACCCGTTCCTTGCCCTTCGAAATCGATCTCAACGAGACTCCTCCTCGCGAAACCCCCGCCGCCGACGAGGCCGCCGTCGCTCCCGCGGCGAAGAAAGAAGGGGTTTTTTCCGGCGAGGTTTTGTGCGCGTCGTGTGGAAGAACAGCCGAAGTGAAGGGAGATACGGTTGTGTGTTGTGGTTGTGGAAGAGGGTTTCACATGAGGTGTTTGGGGACGAAGGAGGATCAGAAATCGAGAGAATGGAAATGCTTCAAGTGTTTGTTGAGCAATGGGAGTGAGAAGCTGAGGAGTGGAGTGGGGTTTTTGGATATGAATGCATCGCCGCCGCGAGAGGCGGAGGGAGAGGGGTTTCTTGAGGAAGTGCCGAGCTATGGTGGTGGTGGAGGGAACAGAGTTCAGAGGAGAGAAGCAGAGCAAAATGGTGATGACAAGTATGAGTTTTCTTATTTCTTTTACTCCTTTTTTTCCCCTTCTCCTTCCTTTTAATTGGATAACTGTTTGACTGAATGGAACTAAATTTACAATTTTTTTTTCCCCTTCTTTTTTTTCTAAGTTCTTTGCTAATAAACTTAAGTTCAACTTTAAGTTGAAATCAAAGTTTGTTTGTTTGTTTTTTGGTGGGTGGGTTTAATTTGTTACTTTTACTTGTTTAATCAAGGCTTTTTTACTTGCTGGAAGTTGTTTCTATGGTTGAGTTAAAAACCCATGGCTGTTTTCATGTATCTCTCTAATCTCTACGGATAGAAATTGATTAGCTACTCTATATTGGTACTAGTATGTGTAAAGAAGGCCACTTTATGCTTGCATGGAGGTCTTTCTATTAGCTAGATGTTTTCTGGCTGACTGGAACTAAATTTACAGTTTTTTTATTTATTATTTTTATTTTATAATTTTTTGTTTTGTTTGTTTGTTTGTTTTTTGTCTTTCAGGTATTTGCTAATAATAGGTTTAAATTTACTAAAGTTGAAATCAAAAGGTGTTTTTTTTTTTTTTTTTTTTGTTGGGTGCGTTTAATTTGTTACTTTTACTTGTTTAATCAAAGCTGTTGTACTTGCTAGGAGTTGTTTTTCTGGTTGAGTTGAAAACCCATGACTGTTTTCATGTATCTCTCTAAGCTCTGTGGACAGAAATTGATTAGCTACTCTATATTGGTTGTATTTGTAAGCAAGGCCACTTTATGCTTGCATGGAAGCCTTTCTATTAGCTGTGTGTTCATCTGGCTTGAAAGTTCTTTCTACTCTTATAAGTAATGCTGCACTGACATTTATTTTTCTTGGAACAAAATTTTGTTCTTGCATTGCATGGAGGCTTTTCTAGTGGTTTGGTGTTCGGCTGCCAAGACTGTTTGCACCCTTGTAAGTAATCCAGCACTAACATTTTTTAAGAAACAAAATTTTATTGAAATCTAAAAGATACTGACAAAAGAGAAGTAATTGTGGAAAGAAAAGCGGATTGAGGGGCAAATACAACAAAATCAGAAGAAATAAGAAAGGAGCATAGAAATGCCTCTTTTTTCTTCGCAGAATCATATGCAGCATGCTTCCAGAAAGCAATTTTCGGGTTGGTTCGCCTTTGAATCCAAGAAATGAAATAACCCATCAATTATGAGATAGGCTAATGCCTTCATAACTAAAATGCTGATATTTTTATTGTGCCTTGAGATCAACAACCCAATTACCAAGTATCTAGGTTATTCCGTGTCAAGTTTCCATGTTCCATATTTTGTTAGCTTCTGCTGGATCCATTTAAAATGACACAAACTCAGCCTTGATGGCATTTCCTAAAACACCCTTAGAAGTTGAATTGAATTGTCCAAAAATAGGAGGTTTCAGCTAATGTGCAAGTAGTGTTGCAAAAATTTTCATTTAATTGATGCCCTCCACTTTTAGGTGAACCAAAAAAGAAATTTATTAGAAGAAATTCTTTGAAGTTTAAACTAAACTAGATGGAGTGAGCTTTACAACTATCAATTGGTCCTAATGCCCCTAAAATTGTTGTCGTCCAAAATTGTTCATCAATATGGTGTTCTTTTTAACTAAATGGTGTTTGTGAACTGCTTATAAAATGTTTTATGGGTTGAGCCACTAATAAATCATTTGTATAAAGGTCTTATCTAGTGTTTTTGGTCATTGAGGGATTGTTGTTTACTTATTCAAGATGTGTCTAGCTGAAGGACGGCATGGGCTAGCATTGATGAAAAAATGACAAAATAAAAACTTCTCCCATCACATCATTAACCAATGTAGGATTAAAGACTAGGTCTAGGATTCGAGTCAAATCAACCTTCCCTCTCATCTTTGGGTGAGGCAAGGAATTCAATCAGATATTTGTTGTTCAATATCTCAGCTACTCAAGAAGTTGGACTAGCTACTCCTTCGACCTGGACTGGATACTAAGGGAAGGTCATCAGTTTGGATTGGAAGGAAAGGCTTCAACTTCCAATTTCTTTTGGAGACTAGTTTGGATGATCTTGGGCAAGTTTGGAATTCGCTATTACTTTCGGCTTGGTCTAGGGAGTGCAATTTCTGGAGCACATGAGGATGAAGAGTAATGATTTCAGCAAGAGCAACAGACAGATTACTATAGTGAGTCTAGTTTTGAGCTAGTCAAATAAGCATTGAACATGGTTTATGTCTCTCTTGCCTCTTCGATAGTAATTCATGTACTTGACATCGGCTCTCCTCATATTGCATCGATGGGTTATAAATATCATATTACTTATATTCCAATTTTTCAATCTTTCCATTCGTTCCTGTGGGCCCTTCTTCCCCAAATTCATTCCTTGGACATATAATATTTCTGAATCGAATCTCTGGCTACCAACAATGTTTCACTACTGCAAAGGCCATCAAATTGGGGGAAAGTTTAGTCATTTTGATCATAGAGTGTATTTTATTTCTTTATTGGCATGTAAATATTTTTGCTTGACCCTATTTCTCTAGTTGTTCTTAACATATAAATGAATAAACTATGATGTCATTGTGGCATGACATCAAGTTACCTTGACGGTTTGGAAGACCGACATGTTAAATGGGGATGGTGTTTTGTACATGTAGGTTGACAAACAATTGAAGCTTGGAAAGTTTGATTTGTTTCTCTTTTTTAAGATTGCTACCGAATATGGGATGTATGGAATTAAGCTCTATCTGACCAAATCTTTAATGAAGTGATGTTGTGGAAGACTACATTGTTTTTTCCCAAAATTATGATGACTATAATTTTCCAAATAGCTGATATCTACATAATCTGTTCTCTTTGTGTATATTGCTATCAAAGGGAAGAAATTTCTAGCATGGAAGAAATAAACGAGTCCACGCAACCCATTTTTCTAAGCATGAAAACCTATGTTGCATCAAATAAGCAAAAAAGTATTGATGGGATACTTAAGATATGGTTTAGGCTAAAAAGCAAAAACTTCATCGAGTTCTTTCTTTGAAGCATATGGTTTGTGTCTGTTGCGGGGCAACAAGGTTGCAAACCACCGTTTTCATGTGGAAAACGACGAATCAAAGAAAGGTGTATAAGAGGAGAAACCAAAGTGTTCAAGATATCAATATGAACATCTCAATTCGAAATTGATAAAGGAATATGTAGCATGATGCAAACTTGGAGCAATCTTTGGGTTGAACATCACCTTGATCATTTGGAAAGTGGCAAATCATGGAGGAGATGGATGTAATGTGTATGTGAGGAGAAACCGAAGTGTTTGAGATACAAGTACGAGAATTTAAGTTTAACTGAGGGGATATGGAACAAGATGAAGACTTGGAGTAATCGCATAGTCCAAAATCATCTTGATCATTTGGAAAGGGGCAAATCATTGAAGAGATGATGAATGAAAGGTGCACAAGAGGAGAAACCAAAGTGCTGTAGATGCTAGTATGAGAATCTAAATTTGAAATTGAGGGGGGATATCCAGCAAGAGTGTGAACTTGGGAGTAATCTTTGATTTCAAAATCACCTTGATTTTTTGCAAAGTGACAAATCATTCAGGTGATGATGAATGAAAGGTGTAAAAGAGGAAAAACCAAATAAGGGTGCTCAAAATAATCGAATAATCCACGAACCGAACCAACCCGACCTTCATGGATTGGGTTGTTCAGTTCTAGTCGATGTTACAGTGACTCAACTTTGGTTTGGTTTTGCACCTTGGTCGATTCGGTTCTAGGTCCAAAAAATGAGAACTAACCAAAGTTGGTTAGTTTCTGAGTTTGGCTATAAGCCGAACCTAGTGATTACTATCTAAGAATTGCTGCATGGATCTCATTAACCCATGCATACCTCTAAAACCGAAGTGTTCAAGATAAAAATATGAGAATCTAAGTTCAAAGCTGAGGGGATGTGTAAACATCTTTTTATGATATAAAGAAAAAAGGCAATTTCATGTTCAAATAATTGTAGTGATGATGAATGTTGGAATTCCACGATTGGCCAATGGAAGAGGGAAATATTGTCAAGGTGTGTCTTTCTTGCGGTCACTCTGCATAAAGGAGTTACTTTTTTAAATTTTGCAACCAAGGTAAGAATTCAAGAATGGCGGTCATTTTAACTCATGGGAGTGAATTAATGGAGCTTATGTAAAGAAAGTATGAAAAGGAATATTGGCAAGGTTATTTAGCTGGCCTTACTAAAGGAAATTTTGTTACCCAAAGGGTTTTTTTGATCTGTTTGTCTGAGCTAATCTCTTGGGAAATTCCTTGATTATAAGCTCTATGAAACTGTCAATAATGTTACTAATAAGGGAGCCAACAAACTTCATATGCTAAAAACTTGTTCCATTAGTGAATGTAAAGAGTGTTAGCAACAAATTATAAATGAGAGGGTTTTAGATATGTTGTGGAGGGGGGTTCGGGTTGGACACTGGTGACAGTGGGTTTCGTCCTTTGTGCCTTTTTGTTTGATGTGGTTGGTATGATTGGAGTGGACTAGAGAACTTTTCAAGAGATTTCTCAATCTGTATTGTGGCTTGAGAATCGGCTTCTAATTACAATGTATGGTTGGCTGGAGAATAGGGTAGATCCGGATTTGTTTGTTTTCTTAGATTTTTTGGATGATGTTCTGAGTTAGGCGTTTTTAGTTTGTTTTTTGTTTGGTTCTGTTTTGGTGCTCTTGTATTCTTCTTTGCATCTTCTTGATGCTTTTTCAATAAAGTCTTTATTTATCAAAAAAAAAAAAATTATAAACGAGATGCCTAAACTCTCTCCCAAGCCCAACCCAAAATTGTTTTACCTAATAAGTAGCTTTTCATCCAGGCATGAAATATGAATGAATCCATGAAGTGCATCCACTACCAACGTGAAAAGGAATATGTGGAATGCCTCAAAATGGTTTAAACTTCAATGTTCTATTAGTGAGTACAAGAAGAAAGTAATCATAACACATTTTAGAAGAACCCTAATCCACATGGTCATATATTTATTACCTTCTCAATTTACCCTTAGTGACGCCATCCTTGTGTTACCTATGGGATGCACTACAAGTTGTTCACCTTTATTTGGTTTTGTAACTTGGAACTGGGACTCACTTTTGGAGATTTATAGATCATTATTAGACTGAACTTTCTTTATTTGACAAGATAGTGTTGTGAAATATTTGCAAACAGCAAACATAAAAAGGTTTGGTAGTAATCTTATGATTATTATGAATTTGAAGCTTCCTAAACTAAGAGTATGAACTCATGCAAAACTTCCTAAAAAGTGAATTCTATTATGGTAATGCCTTAATGATTTGTGTTGCGGAATACATGTCTTGAAGCATTGTGTGCTTTAGTTTAAAAAATGCCAAAGTTTGCAACTTGAAAACTTAATTTTTCTTTAATTCTTTTTCTTGTGATTAGACATCAAGGATATAGAAATGGAATCACATGAAAGACGATGGGCAATAGCACATAAGTTACCTAATCTGTGTAGGTGATTGGGCAAATTGTGCTCCGGCGGATTGGAGAATAATTCGCATCAAATCTGTATATTCATTTGATCAAAATCTCAAATTTCAAACAAACAAATAACTACTTCCCACACATGCAAGTTATAGTAGTCCTTTTTTTTTTTCATCAACAACAAAAGATTTTATTGATAAATAAAAAAAGAAACGAGGATAAGGCATCCTCTTACAAAAAGAGAATGAAAGTAAAAAATACATAACCCAAACAAAGGCGGTCTCAAGCAAAAATCTACATGTAACACACCGACAACCGATCTCTAGTTAACAGAAATAGTGGAACCTCCTTAAAGAGAGAATTCACTGAAGCCCAAAAGGAAGTTAAGTGACAAACTTTATCTCACAGCCAGTCCACTTCCTGAGATTTATCTTCGAACAACAGCGCATTTCTTTCCAATCATAGAACCCAAAAAGTTGCAAAAAAACGGCACAAGACCATAGCACTTTGGCCCTCTTCGAACTTCCCATAGCTCGAAAGTAAATTAGTAGCATATGCGCACTACCTTTTGGTGCCACCCACATAACATTTTGCAAAAAAAACAATTTGTGCCATAGACTCAAAGCAACTGGACAGTGCAAAAATAAATGATCCAAAGATTCACCATCCTTACAACACATAATGGTCCACTGAGGATTTAGAAAACGATTAGGTCTCCTTTTTTGCAATGTGTCATTTGTCAAGATGCCTCCATGAACCAAGGCCCACATAAACACCTTCACCTTTAGAGGAACACAAGCTTTTCAAATTCTTTTGCAAAAGGAAAACTGAGGAACATGAGAATCATCAATGATTTTATCAAAAAAGGACTTGCAAGAAAAAATACCCGATGAATGAAGAGTCCAAACTCTCTTATCCTCCAAAAGAGGAACCAAAGAAAGATGATCAAATCTTGACAACAAAGAATGCGCAGTGTGCAAATTGTATTGTCGCACAGTTTTGAACGTGCAACCAAGTGCCTAGAGAAGCCAGACTCTTTGCACTACTAATGCTTTATTATTAATACATAACAACTGTAAGAAATAATGTATAGAGAAAGAGAGAGAATAAATTGTATATATTATTATTGATTGATATATTGATATCTATTACAATGATTCATGATTACTATATATAGAAGAGGGTGGGTGTGTAGTAGGTAAGGAGTAGGTGAAGTGGAGGTGGTAGTGGTGTAGTGGGTTAGGTTTAGTGGAGTAGGTTTAAGTGGGGGAAGGTTTAGTGGAGTAGGTGAGGTGGTAGTGGTGTAGTGGGTTAGGTTTAGTGGAGTAGGTTTAAGTGGGGGAAGGTTTAGTGGAGTAGGTGAGGTGATCACATGCATGCATTTTTCTTTGTCAACACCAAGTGTAATTATTTTATACAAACAATGAATTCATAAAAAAAAATATTGAGTTAAGTATATTTATGTAAATATATATGTTATGTATTCTAAAATAAAAATATACATGCCCTGAAGGCGCTCCCGCTCTCAAGATATTTTCATAAATGATGCTCTCTCGTTCTCGCACTCACTCCACAAATCAGTCATTTAGGCATTGAGAACTTGAAATATATAATATTTACAATCTTATGTTTTGAGTTGATTAATTCCAATAAAACATCCAAAAATATGATAGATAACTTATTTATTTTTGGGTACAATGTATTGTGTTAATCTTTTATTGGTTTAAATTTATTTATTTTTTTTATAAAAAGAAATATTCTATAGTGGTCGACTTGTGTGACCTATGGAGCGATGCTTGTATTTAATTTCCAATTTTTCCCATGTACTGCTTAGAAAGTGAGCAAGAGTCAAAAGATTTAGAAAATAAAGTAAAGATTCCCAATATCTATTTACAAAAAGGAAACCAACTAATAGCCTTAAACGTTCCATCCACTGCTTCAATTCAACTAAGAAAACATTTTTAGATATTTTTTAGCCATAATAAATGCACCTGAATAATTGCCATGTTTTTGTTATTGTAGCCTTAGCTGTAATCTTTTTAATTGTTGTTCGCTCTTTTCCTTTTATTTACATTATGTACTATTTAAATTGGAAGGAAACTTTCCTGTTTGGTACATCGGAGTACAATGAAATACAACTCCCAACATGGGAAAGAAGACCCACATGCAGGTGGAGGGAGTCGAACCCTTCACCTCCTAGTGAGGTGCAAGGGCTTGAGATGATCACATTCTTCTTGAGGCTTTCGATTGTCGGTAAACAAGAAGATATTTTTAGTAGTGAACTTCACTGTTGAGCTTGTGCCAATTGTTATTTCAGATCTATGAGCATCTTTCATAATTTCACACCACCAGATGTCCGTGTTCTTAGGAATTTACTTGCTGGCATACAATTTAAGGAGCTTAAGCCTATTTCCGGTGTTACTTAGCATATGAAGAGATGACTTGAGAAATTGACAGTTGATTGCATATCACATTAAATTCTGAGTAGCAGGACTTCAACATGAGCTGCAATATCCTTGGAGTGCACTCCAATTGCTTTAGAGATTTCCTGTAATAAGTTTGTGCATCATTTTTCATCAAATAGTATTTGCATTAAATAGAGCCTTACAGCAGTTAATGATATATGCATTTGATTTGTAGAAGGCACTCTCTCCTTGATGTTACTTTCACTGGTCACTCGCTCAATCCCTCTGTGACAACTTCGAATATTTTACATCTGGAGAATGGATTTAATCTCCTAAAGGCATCTCGTGTTGTGACACAAATTCCTAAATCAGGTTTTGAAGATATAGTGCAGTGCAGACAGTATAGAACTTCAGATTTGAGTTCCCCACAAATTTCCAGTCATTGTACACCCCTGACTTTTCATCCAGAGACTCAAAGTGAGTTGTATCTTGAAGGCCTTAGAGAATGTATACATAAAAACCGAGGCATATTAGGTGATGATGGCTGGCATGTGGAATTTGTTTTTTGTAAGAACAGATGTAAGACCGTTGCAGTTTACTGTGCCCCTGATGGAAGTAGGTTTGAGTCAATGCCTGATGTCGCTGGGCATCTTGGATTGTTGAGAAACTATCGTTCTTTAGAAACTGAGGATATAAGTGGTGGATTTGCTTTGCAAAAGGGATTACACTCAAACAGAAGGCGAAAGGAAATTTTGAGGTTCCACAGCTCCAATAACTATAGGGAAAATCAGAATGCTCCAAAGAGAAGTGCTGTTGTGGGCATCTCGTCGGGCATTGGGATTGTAGGTCATCGGACTGGTGAATTTGAGATCAGCAGAAGCCGTATGGAAGCTGACTCCATGGAACATGACTCTGGATTTGAGTTGTTTCAGGTAAATATATGCATAATTTACTGTCTACTGTTTTCTTTTCAACAGGAGGTTAGATCATTTGATTCCATATAATGTTGAAGTCATTGAGGTTAGAGCCATCAACTAGTTGAATTTTATCTGATTTTTTTTCCTCTTTCATTCCAGGATAGATTTCCATTGCAATTTGAAGACTTCTTTGTCCTCTCTTTGGGCAAGGTTGATCCTCGGCCTTCATATCATAACACCAGCCAGATCTGCCCTGTAGGTTACAGGTCTTGTTGGCATGATAAGATTACTGGGTCCATTTTTGTTTCTGAGGTTATAGATGGTGGTGATGCTGGTCCTATTTTTGAAGTTCGAAGATATCCATGCTCCACACAGCCCATTCCAATTAGTTCAACAGTCCTCTTCTTGAGACAAAAATCTGACTCAGATGATGGGCACGGCAAAGTGGCAAATGATGATTCAACTACTTCTGGAATGGATGATGATGAGAATCTGAGTATTCAAATGCTGCTGACAGAAGATAACCCACCACATCTGGAAGATATTGATTTTCAAAACACAAAAAGTTCGACAACAGAGTCTAGTTGCTGTCCACACAGAATTGTAAACATCATACCTGATGCTATAAGGCTGGGTGACTCTATTGGTGAATTTTTAGTGGAAGGGAGATCATCATCATTGGTATGGGAAATGGCCTCTCAAACTCTTGTGTGTGCTTGCCATGAGGTATTTAAGCGAATAGACAGACTTCAATTTTGCTGTAAACATAATATGAATGGAATGAATGTCAAAGCAGCAGACAATATTGATTCATTATCCAAGTTTTGTTATCTGTCTGGACCTACTGACATTCCATGTTTGATTCGGAGCAACAATGAATTTGACAGATACAGTGAAATGCTGATGAAATGGTTACAACAAGACAGATTTGGATTAGATGTGGAATTTGTACAGGAGATCTTAGAGCAGCTCCCTGGGGTTCATGCCTGTTCAGAGTATAAATTTCTAAATAAAAGAAATCAAAATTCAGGTTCTCAAACAGTTAGAAGTGGGTTCCTTTTGGCTCGAAGGAGTAATGTACAAGATGGGAATTCATTAAGTTGTAAAAGACCTCGAAAGCCTTTAGTTGAAGACTCTTGCTTGATGAAATCCTTACCTTTAGGCAAGCCACTAACCGCAAAGCTTCCGGCGTATTTGTTAGGTGACGTTCTTCAGGTATTGTAACGTCCTTTCATTATGAGTGATGATACTAAAATCTCTTTTTTCTTGGTTGCATATTCTCATGATTTTGCATGTGTGTTTAGGCTTGGGAGTTTCTATGGCGTTTCTCAGAGATTTTAAGCCTGGAGGAACCTTTTTCATTCCAGGAACTTGAAAACGAATTGCTAAATCCTTGGTTAGACACCATAAATCCGCTAGATGGGACTGGAAACGAAATCCAAAATTGTGGAGATGTCACCTTATGTACTGGTGCAGCATTGAGAATGGCCCATAGCTCAATGCTGAAAGTGGTAATAGGTGAACTCCTTTTGAAAGTTGCAGGATATGTTGATCCTAATTCTGATGCTGGAGAATGTAAGTCGAAACGAGGAAAGAAGAAAGATGCAGACAACTCACTTACTTCAAAGAAAATGAAGTTTGATATGCTCCAGATCAATGAGCTTACTTGGCCTGAATTGGCTCGGAGATACATCCTAGTTGTCTTGTCAAAGGGGGGTAATCTGCATTCTGCAGAGATTACTTGCCATGAGAGCACCAAAATCTTCCATTGTTTACAAGGTGATGGGGGAACACTTTGTGGTTCTCTTAAAGGAGTGGCTGGAATGGAGGCTGATGCGCAGGTATGATTGAGTTACATTTCTTTTATTTGTTTAATTTTTGATAAGGGGGTTACATTACTCTTATCCTTGTTCTAATAACTTGTGTTGTTGAATTTTTAGAAGGTGGAATTTTCATTATAATTATAGTTCATTGGTCCATTGGCCAGGTTTTCCGTAAGCTTTAGTTGCTTTAAATGGAAATATTTGTTATCGTTGCATTGGCTATACATAGGTCAGGTTTTCCGTAAGCTTTAGTTGCTTTAAATGGAAATATTTGTTATCGTTGCATTGGCTATACATAGTAAGCAAATATATTACTGGTTTCTGGCATATGCTAAGTAAATTTCTGTGTTGCCATAGATAATTCTCTAAGCTTTCTGGATCTTATATTTCATATATAGGTGAAATCTTGATTACAATTAAGTTCTCAGAATCCAAATACTACCCTTGAAAACTTTGGTTTGTTTTTGGAAGATCGATAGAATACATACATGGACTCTATCAAGTGTATGAAATATGTTCAATTCTTTGAGTTAATACTATTCAGTCTTTCTAGTTCCTATTTTAGGTTGTCATTTATGTTCTTTCTTGTCGAAATGCAGCAACTATGTTTCTGGCAAGTTTGGTCTAAACTGCAAACCATCGAAGGATGGAAGGAGAGATTTGGGTTGGTTTTTATTAGATACGTAAGGGCAAAATTGTCATTTGTTTGGCCTTTTTGGTGCCAAAACCACCCTTTCATGCTCAGACATGGTCAAAACAATGTGTGCAACATGCTCTGTTAACTCAGCCAGAAAGTGTTTATTTTGCGCTTCATCCAGTCTAAAGGGTGGTTGTATGTACATTTTTATACCACAAGGGGGTTGAGTGTTTTCAGTCTAAACCATAAAGGGCGTACAGTGTAATTAACGCATAATTTATCTAAGCTCAAGCTTTTGACCAAGTAACATATGTTCAAACTTGGTTCCTGTAGATTTGGCTGAATTTTAGCAGCTTCGTGAACCTGCTGAGCTTGCTTATCAGCCTTCTGAAACTTTTATCTTGAATTCCTGTTAACTGAAAGTGTAACATGCTCTATGAATTACATATATATATATAAATATATATTCTCTGTTGGTCATTTGTTTTATGCAAACTTCCTTCAATATTTAAGGGATTATGTTCATCTAGCTGCAGAACAAGTATTCATATGCCTAATTGTGCCTAGTGTGGTGTTGTTCAAACTGATCTTAGAAGGCAATAGATTCATAATTGAAACTTAGGGCTGGCTTTTTATGCTGGTGATAAGTTCCAACGGACTGACAAATTTGTCAAGCTTGAGCTGTTAATTTGTGGTTTGCTTGTTCAACTGCCTCGACAGAACTTTTCAGGCACCACCAATGACATCCTTTAACTTGTTGAGTACGTGGATGATACATTTTTTGCTTGCAGAGGAAGGAAAAGATAAAACCAATGTGGGGCCCTCTCTATAGGAACAATGAATTCCACTGGTAGGGCACAGGGTGGAGCCATGGAGGACCTCCTTTACAGGTGTTTGGCTATTGACTAAATTTAGTCAGATAGCATTTTGCTTGCTTCTTCTTCTGCCCTTCTTTTTCACATTTTTGTATACTTCAATCTTGATTAATTTTTTAGATCTACTTTTATTTATTTATTTATTTATATTTTTTGTTTTCAGAAAAGTTAATCCCATCATTCTGTTTGCAGTATTTTAATGTTCTTTAGTATTTGATCTAGACTGAAATGTTCTCATTTATGTGTCATATAAATTTTGTTTCCATTTCCCTTGTAATTAGTTGCCATTTGCTCTTGTAGAACTTCTGATCCATGTTTCTAACTTTTATGATTATTTTAATATTCAGTATTGCAAGAAATCCTTAATGAATAATCATGCACTAATTTATGTGATTCTCAGCTTCTTGCAGAGGCTTTAAAACAAGTCTTTGGTTCTTCGGTGAAGAAATTTGACTTTGTAAGGACAGATCAAGATGAGTATCCTGCAATGAGCACTCCCAAAACGACTGAGGTGAATGAAAGTGAAGTCCCTGCATGGGCGCAGGCACTAGAACCTGTAAGAAAGCTGCCCACAAATGTTGGAGCAAGAATTAGGAAGTGTGTGCATGATGCTTTAACTAAAAATCCTCCAGAATGGGCAAAGAAGATAATGGAACATTCAATTAGCAAGGAAGTTTACAAGGGAAATGCATCGGGACCTACGAAGGTGCTTTTTTCTTTGTTCTTTTTAATTCAGTTTTTGAAAATGTTATCTAATAAATTAAGTTGGACAAGATAAGATTTGTTTGCAAATAACATTAATTTCAGCATGTTTAGGGAAGAGAATCTGTGAGGTGAAGGGGCATTCAAATATTGTGTGGATAGGGTAAGCAGGAACAAAGCTAGAGTTTGTTTGGCTTGTGTGGCTGGATACACAGGTGTTTCTCCCCCGGCAAAAAAAAAAAACACATACACACACAAACACAAATACACACATGCACATACGTAGGCATAAAGAGGAAAAGAAATGTACAGACAGACCTACACACATGTGTTTTTCAGGAAACTGGTCAGTTTTGTCTCCCCCCCCCCAAAAAAAAAGTTTTATGCATATCAAGTGTTTCTTGTATTAAATAAAACCACATCATTTATATATTCAAAGATTTTAGTTTGGGTTCTTCTGATTCTTTAACAGTAACTTGTAGTTGTACAGAGAAGAAATAGAGCAAGGTCACAGTTTGTTGCTACAGATAAGACTGAAAAAATTGTGTTAAATCATGCTAATTTATGGAATGGAAATGATAATATGGTTACATGCTTGGCCAGATAGCCACATCCCTGTTAGTGATGATGAATAGCTGAGTTGTTCTGTTTTATGCTTCTCTGGAAATTTGGTTTCAGTTGGGTCTGGATCTGCTTATAAAAGGTTTCCTTATGTTTGCTGTTATGAGTTTGGCATTTCTTTAAAATGTGAATATGATTGTAATTGTATTGCTGCTGAATATAGAGATTAAAATGTATTGCTTCTGAATAATTGATTTATTTGGCTTTAATTTGGTGAACTGTGAATTATGTAATTACTTCTATTTTTCTACCATTTTGTTTTTTAAAAATTTTAACTTCAGGCTGAATGTATTTATTCTAGATTTTTACAACTTGAATCTAAATATACTCCATTTTTTTACTAAATGTTGATGCTAATGATTGCAGTTAGGTTAACTTCTCACAGTTTTGAAAGGACTTTTTTTTCCACTTTGTAAAAGAGTAGTAATTTTGATGTTGAACTCATGTTGGTTACCATTGACTGAGTACAGAGAGCAATTGTTTCGTTGCTGGGGGAAGTGAACCATAAACAGTTGCATCCCAAACCTGAAAAGAAAGATAAAGTAAAGAGTGTCCACACTGTATCTGATATAATAATGAAACAGTGTCGCATCGTGTTGCGGCGTACTGCTGCTGAAGATGAAGATAAAGTCTTCTGCAATCTGTTGGGAAGAACTCTTGTAAATCCTAATGATAACGGCGATGAGGGACTTCTTGGATATTCTGCAATGGTATCTCGTCCTTTAGACTTCAGAACTATTGATATCAGATTGGCTGCTGGGGCCTATGGTGGATCCCATGAAGCTTTCCTCGAGGATGTTCAGGAGGTATGTTTCTTTTCCGCTAGTATTGCATCATGAGTTCAATGTGTAAACATCTCATGATGCTTATGTAGAGCATTAATTGAAAGTGCAAGATTACTAACTTTTTTTTTTTTGGTTGATAAATAAACAAATTTTATAAAGAAAGTATCAAAATGATGCAAAGAATACAAAAATGCAACCCCACATAGGGGCAAAAGACAAACCCTAACCAATTACGTCATCCAAAAAATCTAAAAAAACAAACATATCCGGATCAACCTTCCTCTCCATCCAACTATACAAAACTACCAGAAGATGACTCTCTAACCAAGAAACACCATGATAAACCTCTTGAAAGGTTTGCCTATTCTGCTCCAACCAAACAAACCACATCAAACAAAACGGCTGCAACACCCACACCCGCTATCACCGACTTCCAATCCAAGCACCCCGCCAACTCCAAAGCATATCCAACACCCCCTTCAGTTGAACTCAAACAGTCCCAAAGAGCGAACAAATAAAATCCCATAACCGCAAAGCCACTGAACAGTGAAGAAACAAATGATCCACCGACTCCGCATTCGCACAACATAAGTGCAAGATTACTAACTTTTATGTTTTTTTGGTAGGTTTGGAATAATATACGCATCGCATATGCAGAACAGTCTAATATGATTGATTTGGCAAATGCTTTATATCAAAAGTTTGAAGAATTGTATGAAAAAGAGGTATCTCTCCATTTACTTTTTATATAGTATTCATGTGCGTTAGCTGTAATTTTGTTAGGTTCATCCCATTATCTAATTTTCCTGCAGCTTCCAGTATCTCAGAATGTGCCTCAACTTTGTTCGAGTTTAAAATAGAATCAGTATTTTGATTTAGTCTAATCACAAGATCTCCTACAAATGCTTTCACTTACAATCTTTTCCGCTTTTACTTTCTTTTTTTCACAATACTAGCTTAACTGATTTCTCTATTAAATGCTAGTTCAATTTAAAACTTCATCATATTGGCTGATTTTCTATCTGCCTTCACTCTGATTGGGAATTATTTAGGATTGAGGATGGATTAGTTGTTATTTCTTGAACATTCATCTTGCTCTTGCCTTGAAAACATTTGATTTATAATAAATCATTCCCGAGCTTGGGTAGGTTGGACATATGTTGTAATTATTATATCTTGTCTGGAAGTATATAGAACCTCATCTTGGCTTCTATTGTATGTGGAATACTGTTATCTGCTCCATAATTTATTGAATTGTCAATCTGCTTCACCTAGGTCATATTTTTAGTTGAACCCTTTTCATTCTTATTCCATGCTCCAGGTCCTCACGCTGATCCAAATGTTTTCTGGAAGCGCAAATTCTTTATGCCTAAGCAATGAATCAGAAAAAGAGGCGTGTGATGTGCTTCTTTGTGCAAACGAGAGCTCACTTCCCAAAGCTCCCTGGGATGACGGTGTCTGCAAAGTGTGTGGAGTAGACAAAGATGATGACAATGTTTTGTTGTGCGATACTTGTGATTCTGAGTATCACACATATTGCTTAAATCCTCCACTTGCAAGAATTCCGGAAGGAAATTGGTATTGTCCTTCTTGTGTTGCTGGTAAGTCCAAGTCTCAAGGCACATTCCGTGGTACTCAGGTCCGTTTGTGCCAGAAAAAGAGATATAGAGGTGAACTGACTCGAAATTTTATGGAATCATTGTCCCGATTAGCAAGAGCCATGGAGTCAAAAGAGTACTGGGAGTTCAATATAGAGGAGGTTAGTTTGTAAGCCTCTTCATGTGTTCATTGAATTTCTATATGCAATCTTTAATTGTTGTCTGATCTGGTTGCATCTTTGTAATTTGCATTGGTGACTGCATTTTTGAAAGGTTTTGGATTCTCATATTTCTTTTATGTAGAGTGGTTGTACCTTGAATAAGTTTACACTTACCTGTGTAATACTGTCAGATACCATTCCTAAAAATGGTTTGGTATCTGATAACAGATAACCATGCCCATCTTTTCCCATTAGCAAAAACATACAGCTCCATGTCCATAGATGGTGGCTATGGATATATGGTGGGTATGGGCTGTTTGCTGCTTGTTTGCAAAAAATTTAGTAATTACTGGCAAAGTCGTGTGTAGAAGTTGTATGTCCTAGTTCTTTTTTCCTCTTCTCTTCTCTTTTTCCCCTCACTAGTGTAATAGCTAACTCTTCTTTTGTTCTTGATGCAGAGAATATTACTTATGAAGTTTTTGTGTGATGAGACACTGAACTCAACCATTCTTCGTGACCACCTAGATCATTGTGGCTATACGTCTCTTGATTTGCAGCAGAAACTGCGGTTCCTTTCTTCAGAATGGAAGAACCTGAAAATTAGAGAAGAAGTTCTGGCTGCTAATCTGGAAAAAGCAAATGCTGTGCACAATAGAGTCGGAGAGTTGGTTCCAGATGGGTTGGCTTCTGTGCTTACAAAAGATGGGAAATTAATGGGTCAGCTTTCTAAAAGAAGCAACAGTGTTTCATGCTGCTCTGGTAATTTTCAAAACATAGAGGATGGCACACGGTGGAATGGGCTGAATGATTACAATGAACAATCTTGCCGGTCTTTTTCGAAAAACATTTCAGAGAAAAGTTGTGCCAGTAATAGAAGTCAAAGTTTTAAACGGTCTGATACCATTGGTCCGTTGCTTACCCCTAATCAAGTTCCAGAAGGCCTTGTCTCATCAGATGTCAGTGGGAACCAAATAGCTGAACATGAACATATGTTTAATGGCCATCATTCCTCTCTTCAATCTGATGCCAATGCATTACAAGCCAACAACCTCGAGATGATGAGCTCGCTGAAGCATGAGATATCTGTTCTGCAGGATTCAATGGCCAGTCTAGAATCTGAATTTCAGAAGGTGTCTGTTAGGAAAGAATTTTTGGGAAGGGACTCTGCTGGTCGAGTGTACTGGGTTTTTGGCAGGCCAGATACTTACTCACTGCTGGTTGTTAATGGAAGTATGGAGGTACGACAGAGTAAAGTGACAGCGCATGGAGGTCCAACCGAGAGCAGTTCAAATTTAAGATCATCTCAATATGGCATGTTGAATCTTTCAAGTTCAAGAAAACCAAACACTTCCAGTATGTATGACACATCTGCATGGGTTTCTTACCAATCTGATGCTGAAATTCAAGGACTTGTTGGATGGCTGAGAGATGGTGATGCAAGAGAGAGAGAACTGAAAGAGCACATTTTGCATTGGCAGAGTAAACTTAAAGACACGAACAATGCTGGAAACCATGTTCAAAATGAGAAACAAAAACAACCAAGTTGTTTGGAGCTCCCCACTGGTCTAAAAGCCAGAGACTCCAATTTGCTGGTGACCAAGGCTGTGACTGCTTTGGAGAAGAAGCATGGACCTTGCTTGGGTTCAGAGGCCATTGACATCTCAAAGAAGCAGGGTGAGAAAAGTAAGGTAACTTGTGAAGGGAAAATGTATCGATGTGAATGCCTAGAACTTATCTGGCCTTCTAGACACCATTGCCTATCGTGCCACAAGACATGTTCCTCTAGTGAGGAACTAGAGAGTCATAGTGACGGAACGTGCAGTGCCGGCTCACCTATCCTTGAGAATAGCAAGGTAAATGAAGATTCTCGAAAGGGAAAGATGGTGGCTGAAACTCCAGTTAAGAAGCGCCCTGATGATAATGGAATTGGTAGAGCACCAAAAAGTGAGAAGAATGAGATTGGCTCTAATCTGAGCAAAATTCGGGAGCCAGAATGTCCATTTGACTTAAAGGAGATCAGTGCAAAGTTTGTCACTCAAAACTCTCTTAATGAATTGGTAAGGGATGTAGGACTTATTGGATCTGGTGGGACTCCATCATTTGTGTCGAATGTATCTCCTTATCTCAGTGACCCCACCTTAAGGTTGGTCCCTACAAAGAAAAATGAGGCCAATATGGCAAATAAATCAACAGATTGGGAGGATCAGCTTCAACAATCAATACAAGGGATCAACGATATGAACTGTGATAGCAATTCCAACAATTTTCCTAGATGTGTTGGAAATGATAAAGATGAAGAGACATCAAAAGTTGAGAGATTGATCTCCAATTCTACAAATGAAAGAGATCAGTTCTTCTCCAGAAGGAATAAAAGTCCAGCACATGGGTTCGGTAACTGCTGCGTAATTCCTGAATCCTCATTGAGACGATTAGTTGGCAGGGTCTCACAAATTCTAAGGCAGCTCAAGATCAACTTGCTTGACATGGATGCTGCACTACCTGAGGAAGCTCTAAGACCTTCTATGGTTCATTTGGAAAAAAGATCTGCTTGGCGTGCATTTGTAAAATCTGCAGGGTCCATCTACGAGGTTAGTCTTGTTAATTATGTAATTTTTATAAAGGATATTTTAGTCTTCTTTTCTTTTATTAGGGTTATTCATTGTTTATTTTGGTTCTCTTGTATTATTTATTTTGTTGTTTCTCCATATTATGCTGTAGTAGAGGTGCAGGTAAGCCTTGTTAACATGGTATCAATGATCATGTTAGGTGAAATCCTGGGTTCAAGTCTCTCCCTCTGCATTTGTTTTTTGATCTGCATTTTTTTTTTTTCTCTATATGTTTGAATATTTGTATCTCCACTTGAAAACGGGTTGCATGTGAGAGAGGGTGTTGGAGAGCTTAAAATGCATTGTTTGCCGTTTTCCTAACAAAACAACTAAAGCCTTTAGGACTAATGGTGATTTGACTAGTTTTATATCTCCGTTCTTACTCCATTAAACTAGAATTAGATTTATAACAAGTTTAGTATCTGCTTGACTTGTGTTCCATGAAAGTGGAATACATTGGAAAGAATTTCCCATCCAAATTGTTTTGACCGTCATAATACATTCTAATTTGAACTGTCCAATGATTTTTTCACACAAGATGTCAACTTTAGATTTCTGTGGTGGGTCGAGAAGGTGCAGGTGTTGTTATTACTAGACTACTCCTGATTTGTCTCTGCCTTACAGGAGAGCTACTATTTCCGCACACCACTTTCTCTCAGTTTACACACCATTTTAGTTTGGATATCAACCTCCGAACAATACTACATGATTCAAAAATTAACTTAACGAATGAAAAACTATGGTTGACACAATGGGTAGATAAATTGAATGTTTAATGGTGTTTTCAGATGGTCCAAGCAACAATTGTACTTGAGAACATGATAAAAGCAGACTATGTGAAAAAGGATTGGTGGTACTGGTCATCTCTCACAGCTGCAGCAAACATTTCAACTCTCTCCGCCCTTGCTCTTCGCGTGTACACCCTAGATGCTGCCATCATCTTTGAGAAACCTACAGATTCAACAGAAACTCCTAAGCCAGGTTGCGAGACAGAGACTCCTTCCAACTCAGATAAGACAAGCAACATGAAGGCAAGCAAGACCCTTAATGATTCAACTGATTGTTCAAAACCAAAAACCAGACCGAATAAGAGGAGGAAAGACTCGAGTGGGTGAACTTGGATGAACATTCGAATCACTGTAAATAACTTACACAGAAGCAGAGATAGACTCTTCCTTCCTAATGCTGAGTTATCGTTTGGAACATTCTGGAAGGTTCAATGACATCTGCTGCCATGCCTCTTCGTCTGTATATATGTGTAGTGAGGCTGATATACTGACAGAGATGTTGGATGATGATTTGGAATCGACAGATACTGAAGCCTCTCAAAATAGAAGTTGCAGCAACATCCACATCTGCATACAAATGTGTATCATTCTGATGTATAAAAAAGAAACAGGTGAAAATGAGCAGCTGTAGTTTTTAGTTATATCTTTCATTCATTGATATATACATGTTTCATTGGTCTTGCATTGCATTTTCCCCCCTACAGAAAAACCATCCCCTTACCCCATAAAGACCTGTCATGTAAGGGCTTGTCTGTGCCATGTGCTTAGGACTAGCACACAGAACATACATTACTCTGCACTTGATTGACGATATTGTTTGTCCACCACAGAGTCAACACCTCTATGTTTATGTTTCTTGGGAGACTGTCCAACGTCCTCCCTAAGGGTTCAAAAAGCAAAATGGCTTTCGGGTTTTGTTAGAATGTGAAAGCCAGCACCTCTGTACAAGGAGTGAAACATGCTTCTTCAATCCACTGGCACAATGTGGCTAGTTTGATTTTAGATGGTTGAGAACATGTTTTGTAGCCCATTGATAATCAATTGAGTAAGAGCAAGAAACGGTTTGGTTTTAGATGAGGATTGTGGTCATGATGATACAGAACTGGCCAACTTCTTAATAAAATGCTGAAGTTCTTAAAAGTTAATGAATTTTTGGATAAAATGTTAGGTTTAGTGAAATGGAAATTTGGGAGCCTAACACATGCTTCACCCTGCGTGGTTTGTGAATTGAGTACTATTCTGGTCTTGGGCATCCTGGCTTTCCATTTCTGAATTGGCTATGGCTCGAGTAATAAAATAACCACCACTAGTAAAGGCAATTAACCATAATAATGGCAACCTTTAAATTGCATTTTAGTTGGATTGCACAGAGGCTGTCATTTGACTTGAGATGGAAGTCGATTAACTCACGTGTTAGACCAAAGGATTGATTTAATGGTTAAGGGATTGACCTGAGTTTAAGTTTTCTCCTTTTGTATCTACTTTCCTTTTTCTTATTCCCTTTCTTTCTCTTAAAATAAATAAATTAATAAGTCACATGCATAACTCAAAAGAAAAATTGTATCTCGATAGGAACCTTCTCTTTCTTCTATGTTAGGAGGAGTTGAGGATGACATGCCAAGAAAACATTGAAACTCAATTCTAAAAACCTTAGCTTCACACCTTGAATTCTTTGGTGTCTCTTTTTTTGCGAAGGGGTTTCGTGTGATTTGAGGGAGAAAGGGGTTAGAAGTGTTGCAGTGAGGGGTGTTAAGGGTTTTGTGGTAGTGAGATAAGTTAATTTTGAGGATTGTCTTTAATGGTTGGTGAGTATGTTTCTCATGCAATTGTTCAGTGTAACTCTTAGGATCAAATTACAAGAAAGAAATTTCTTATGAATTTTTTAGTCTTGGCATGGATGGTTTGCTTTTGACCGGACAGAGGGGATTAGTCAAGTTGCGCATAAATTGACTCGAACACTTTTTTACTATTTAACCCAAAAACAGAAAAGGAAAAAAGTATTGAGAAGAGGTTGGGTAGGCGGGAGGGTATTGGTGGCATGAAGTGGCTGTTTGAGTGCCAGAGGGAAGGTGAGAAGGTATGGAAAAGAAGAGAGAGAGAGAGGGGGTGAAAATATTAATGTCGTAAAATAATGTCATTCTAAACACATCTTTTTAAGTAAGAAAATCAATTTACACTTCATTTTAATCAATGATATATAAATAAAAAATTTATACAAAATAGTGTAATATTTTATATACATTTCATTTATTTAAGGGGGAATTATATCATAGTAGGACAGAAAAAAAAAAATTATTAAAACATTTAGGGTGCAAGTGATTTTTTTATGAGGTGTAACTGAAAAATTGTTGGGGTGCAAGTGTCACTTGCATCGTTGTATATTTGTGTTAAAAAATTTATCTGTTCCACTGATATGTAATGCTCTCTTTATTTAATTAAAACATGATTATTAATTTCAACAATGTCACTATTCTATCATATCATTTCGTTTGTAAAAAAAAATAAATACAATTATAGTAAATCAATCTCCTTACATTTTAATTTCAAAAAAAAAAAAAAGTCAAACCAATAAAAAATTACAAATTCATAAAAAAAAATTGATCACTTCAATTATTGAAGTCAATAAACTTTGCATTGGCTTGTAATTTAGTTTGAAAACTTAAACTGAATTGCAGTTTTATCCAACAACATAAAGGTTATTTTTTTGTCGATAAAAAAAAAAAAACATGGCAAAAAAAGTTCACAAAAATTCAGTGTACCCAGCAGTTATCGAATGTGGATTGCAAAGTCCTACTTATATGCCAATAAAGATCATGTGACATTGGGGCAATTTGGCAACCTAGCTAAGCCTTGATTTGGCAACGATTTTTTTAGTTAGTTTTTTGACTTTTTTTAGTTTGGAATTTTTTTGTTCGTTTGGTATTTTTGATTGACTGTTTTGGCCTTTTAGCTTTGGAATAGTGGATTTTTTTTTGTCTTTTTGTGATTTTTGACTTTTTGTTTTTTTTGACTTTTTTTTGTCCTTTTGTGATTTTTTAATCCAACATGTTTACCAAACAACCCCTAAAAGTTAATTTTTAGGTTTTAACTTATTTTAAGTCACATCACCTCTCGTATTTTATATACAAAAAGACAAAAATCAATTTTTAATCAACTTGCTAAATCGCCCCATTATTTTTCATCAATCACAAACGTATATATCTCTATTATTTCTTAAGCCTTCATTTGGGATGTGGTTGACTTTTTGACTTTTTAGCTATTTTAACCTAGGACTAAAAAGTTTCATTTGGGATAGACTTTTTGGTTTTTTTGACTTTTGTAAGAGAAAAAATGAAATGATAATGGTTTGGATGTGATATTTTGTCTTATTAGGCTAAAAAATCTATTTTGTCTTTTTATGGCTAAAATAGTCCTACCCAACCCAAACCTTCGGGTGATTCTATTTACACACCATCAAATCTTTTAGTACACATCAATTTCTAAGTACACAGCACACATATTTTCAATTTTTTGATTTCTTCTCACTTCATATCATCACTTTTCAAAAAATCCTAAGTGCTCATTTGGAAAGAAAAAGCCCCAGACTTTTTGGCTAAAATAGTCACAAAAAAATAAAATAGGCCTTTTATCTCAGTAAGACAAAGCATCATATCTAACCTATAATCATTATAATTTTTCTTTTACAAAAGTCAAAAAAGCCAAAAAGCTCATCCCAAACGAAACTTTTTAGTCTCAAGCTAAAATAACCAAAAATCAAAAAACTAACTCACATCCCAAACGAACTCTATTACCCCCATTTTCATCAACTCTACATCCCAAACCCTAACCTAACACTAACCCTAACCATCATTGCCGGCTACCACTTCCTCTCTAGCCTCTTACCCTTCTCGCAACACCGAACGCTAGCTGCCAGCCTCCTTAGCCCATCACTTTTGACAACCTCCTTAAGTCTCATGTTATTCTGACAAATCTTTATCACTATTGTTGCTTTCCGTCGTTGCCCTCTCTCCCAACCCCACAATTCATCGTTATCATCTTCTTCACAATCGCCAACCTTCGTCTCTTGATCCCCCAACTACAATCACCGTCCCCAGCCACCAAGTCAATGGCGACTCCACCACCGTGAACAACCCGCTTCTATATTGCCATTGCGATTCGTTTCCTCACCCCTTTCATCGTAATCCAACTCTTGTCCACCGCATGAAAAGAAAGAAAGAGAGAGAGAGATAAAGAAAAGCCGAGGTTTTTCAAATCTCAAACGAAATGTGTGAGCTATAGCGGCGACGACAGAGAACGGAGGGGTGAGTTGCAGAAACAGAGGCGATAAAAATGAAGGTTGGAAGAAGAAGAATAATAATAAGGAGAGAGATAGAGAGAGAGATGTGACAGAAGAGATTGAGAGTTGCCGAAGAATGAGGAGTTGGCGTGACGGGGTGAGGAAAGGTACTGACGGTAGCTGGTTGATGGCGTGACAGGAGGAGAGTTTGTTGGTGAATTTGATTTTAGAATTTTTGTCCCAAATGGTAATTTCATTAAAGGGCACAATGGTAATTAAAAAAAAATTGGAAAATGATATGTACTGAGAATAATGATGATGTATAAATAGAATTACCCCAAACCTTCATGCCAAACATAGCCTGAATTATACTTAACTTAAATATGGTGGATCTTAATACAAAAAAAATTATAATTACAATAAGGGGTACTTATGTGTAGATTCTAATAAGTAGATTTATTGTCTAATAGGTCCTATGAAAAAAATTTGTCATAAAAAAAGTCACTAATTGTAATTTTTAGGGTGATACACCAATAAATCCCAAATTAACAACTTATACACTGTGTAGTCCCAAATGTTTTCTTATAAACTGAACAGTCCCATCGTAAGAGAATTAACCATTGAGGGCATATACATTGTGTTCGTAAGTGGTAAGACTAATGGGCAAGCTTGGTAATTTGATAATGTGAAATCACGGAAATAGGGTAGCAGTCGTCATCAATATCATCAACATTATCAACGTGGGTGCTATTATCAACATCATTAACCTCAGTGCCATGATTGACATCGTCAACATCAGCACCATGATCGACATCATCAACGTTAATGACATCATCAACATCAGCAACATCAACGCCATGATCAACATCGTCAACATCTGCAACGTTTGTTGGGAAAATGCCGATCCATCATCAACATCAGTGCTAGACATCATCAAACATCAGAGCCATGATCAACATCATCAATATTAGTTCCATCATCAACATCAACGACATCCACCACCACCGTATCCACCCTCACGATCCACTCCACCCAACCATACCCTATCCGCTTCACAGACCATCAATATCCCCTTCCCCTACATCTGCGCCAACGGCACCGGAATCCCCAAAGATCCGCCGCTTTAAACCCTTGTGATCTGCAACGAACATGGGTTTTCCCAGAAAATCTATACTATTAGAGCATCTCCAATGCACTAGGCATATAATACTTATTAGTTAAAATGCCTAGTGTGATTCACTTTTTTCAATTCCAATGCACTAGGCATATGATTAGGTATTTTGGCTCAACTCATATTCACTAGCTACATGTAGCTAGCCTTCAACGCTAGGCAAAACATATTCAATCATTAGGATCATTTCCCTCCATCTTTGTTGTTGACGTGGCATTCTATAAAATTAATAGTATTTGGATAAATAGCTAAAATAAAGAGCATGGTTGGAGTAAAAACATAAAACAGTTGATAGGCAAAAAAAAATATATACTTTATAGTAATATTTAGATAGGTAAAATGCCTACTACCGTTGGAGATGCTCTTATAAAGTGAACACATAACTCTTATGGTGTCCTGAAGGTTTACTCTCCTCATGCCATGTGGCAGTATTTTTTATTTTTTAAAAAAAAGTTAAACAAAGAGATGGGCAAGGCTTGAACCCATGACCATGGGTTTAAATACGATGACTCATACCATTTAAGCTAAATACACATTATAATATTAATTTCATTATTATTTTTTTTTATTCTTACTTATTTAAATTGCACACACACATCGTGCGTGCCACCCACTAGTCCTTTAAATGTGAGCTTGTAAATTGGAGAGAGTGATTAGAAGGAGAAAGCTGCAGAACCCCTTTGGTTTGGGACCTGAGGATGGTCTGATTAGACCCAGAAACAGAGAGACCAGTCTTCAATGAACAAGCCATGGCTGTGAAAATTAGACCTTTTCTCAAACTAGATAGAGAGCCTCAAACAAGAAAGATCCAACAAAACCCACCTCTACTTTACTAGTTTTTCTCAATTTTTTTCTGTTTCTTATGAGAAATCAAGACAAACAAGGCACAGTGTTTAAGATGTTTAATGTTGTTGATGTTGTTTTGATAATGATGATGTAGTTGATGATGTTTGATGATATTTTTATGATGTTGCTGATTTTTTATGAAACAAACATTTCACAAAAAATGTGCTATTGTAACCTGCAAAATAATGAAAATTAAATAAACAACATTACCAAAATAAAATGGGACTAAATAGTGCATAAGAAAATTTTTAGGGCTAAATGGTTCAACTTTTCAGAAAATAGGATTTATGGGTAAATTTTTCTAATTTTTAACGACAATTTATAAAAATTATGACAAAAAAAAAGTCACTAATTGTTAATTTTTAGAGACATATATAAACAATTGTCACCGAAAATTTATTTTTAGCTACAATTTTACTAAATTTTATTTTCAATAGGATTTGATGAGAATTAAGTAAATCTATTAGAATTTATTGATAGTTTACCTTACCTATAATATCCATATAAAAAAATGATAGAGGCTTTTCTTCAGTTCATGATTGGAGTAGAGGGTGTTGTTGGGCCATTGGAGGCCTATCACGGGTCCCGTTTCAATAATTCAAACCGTTTAATGTGTAGAACTCGTTGAGTATTATATTTATATAAAAAATCATATTGATCGGATATCGATAACTATGTGATCAAATTAATTTTCTGTCCATCGTTAATTTTTTCACCGTCTATTTTTTTTGATACAAAACTTAATTGATCACATAATTATTAATATCCGATTTATATAATTTTTTACAGATATATAACAATCGAGTTCTATATACTAAGCGATTTAAATTATCAAAACGAAATTTGTGATGGACTTCCATAGACCTAATAGCCAGTCCGTGTTTGAACTGCAGGGAAGCCCAGCCAAAAAAAAATTACTCCCCACTGAGTCGGCTATTTTCACTTTGATTTGTGAATCTTGGAACTTGGAAGCGATCACGTTACTCTGGCAATAGTCTTCTCTCTCTCTCTCTCCCTCTCTCTCTCCCCGATCAGAGAGAGCTTCGGATCACATCGGAGAATCAGTGCCGAGAGTTATCACACACACACATATATACATTTCCATGCATGGAAGAAGAGAAGAAGATGAAAGGAGGCCCTATAGACCTTGACTGGGACCTACTCTTGCCCCGCGGAAACGACGACGAACCTCCGCCTGTTCTGGTGGTCACCGCCGCCGCAAGGAACCAATCGCCGCCGCCTCCGATGGGCGGCGATCAAGAGGAATTGTCTCAAAGGGACGAGCTGTTTCAAAAATCGGATAGAGAGCTCGAGGACGCCATTACGAGGCTGAGAAACTCCATTGAAACCATCGGTCCCAAATTGCCCGATAAAGGTGAGAAGCTTAGGGCTAGTCTCAAGCGTCTCGAAGACGAGAAAGAGCACCGGAAACTCTGCCGAGTCGAACAGGTTCTTTCGCTTTTTTCTTTCTTCATTTTGAATGCAATTGTGAATTTTTTTGAGTATTAATCTTGTTTGGATATGGATGAATTGTTGTATCCTGTTGAATTGAAACTTTGTTTGAGTTTTAGTTATTTTGAAATTCGCATGAAGCCCTAGAATTTTGATAATGTCTGCCATTTTACTGGTTTTGTTAAGGCTTTAGGGTATTATTTAGGAACTTGTTATTTTGGGTTCGTGGGTTTTGAATCTTCAGCCATATATGTTCTGATTCATCGATTTTGATCTATATCAATACTCTGGTTAAAAAAAAAAAAAAATTAATTATTAATTTAATTCTACTTAAAAAAGTCCTTTTAGAAAAATGTGAATTCCACATGTTGTAGTAGGAACTTTAAGTTCATAGTGGAGAGCGAAAGAGCTGGCACAACGCAGCTTTGTGACATAGCATGAACTATTCTATCTATTCTATTATATGAACCGTTCCCTTGAAGTTGAGTTGGTGTGAATGCTATCAAGTATTTTACTTTTCTAATTCAGTAATATTACAAACTCATACTTAAATACCAAAAAATTATCAGAATTATCATCTTATGGATTAAATTTATTTTACACATGGACCGCCACATTGCACAAATTTAATCTCAATTACACAACTCTCATTCGGGATAAATTCGGGATACGAGTGGGGTTCATAGCAATCTTCTTTCTAATTATGTCCTCTCCATCCAGTAACTGTCACCCATTCCTACCTAGTACCTGTCACATCCAAGACTTTTCTCCTTCACCAAATCATCCAAAACTGATAATGAGTTTTCATCAATCATCAAATTATCCAAAAATTTAAATATAAAATTGCAAGCGTTTTGCATTTGCACCCACTGCTAGTAGCCTAGGAAGCATTGACACTTCAAAACAAGTGTTGTAGAAGTGTCAGACACATATAAGACACGCCATGTGGTGTGTCCTTTTATTTAATTAATTTGTTTCTAGGGGACACATCAAGGACACGTCAACTAGTTTTTACACCCCTTTTCTTTAGTACTTTTGATAGAGGTTAGATGTTGAATGCTTATTACCTTTTACTAAATTTAAATACTTCATAGATCATCCATAAAACAAATATAAATGATGAGTGTTAATTTGAAAGTGATTTTTTTTTTTTTTTCGAAAATATCGAGTTAGTGTTAATCTTTGTTAATTTTGATTGTTTGTGGATGTAATATTAATCTACATAATAAATAAAATTATGTATTTTGTTTGTCTGTGTCCTCATTTTTTTGAATTCACCATGTCCTGTGTCCGTGTCCACATCCATGTCTATGTCTATGTCTATGCTTCTGAGCTAGTAGCAAATAAAGGAAGTCTGACATGCTTTTTATTAGCAAGTTGCATGAATCAACTCATGTGCTTAAATTAAGCAACCAATTGGTTTCATTTTCTTCATATTCTTGGATAACTACATAGTCATAATTGATTGGAAGGTGATTGCATTGCTGGGCATTTGGTGGGGGGGGGTCACCGTTTGGTGCACCTAGCAAAACATAGTTGTGCATATGTACATGTCTATATAAGTACGCATTTGGTGAAATATTGACCTTGTTTGCCAGTTTATGTTGGCTTGCATGTGATGTTGCTACTTGCTAGTCCTCAATTATTGTAGTTTTATATTTGTTGTTGACAAAATTAAAAAAATAAAATAAAAATTATTGTATTTTTATTTGGATTGTTTTTGATATGTCATCTCATGAACTATGTTTATAAATTCTATAATCATATTTTATTTTTATTTTAAGCTGTGGGTGTTGTTCTCTTTTCTGAAACACTCGAGGTTTGTTAAATTATGGTCAATGTACGTTTCATTGTTACTTCCTAATTTTTTACTTTTTATTTTAAATATTTTTAAAAAGGTCATAAACCCAGTGCAGTGCTCTAGGCTCTCATTTACATGGGGCGATAGATAGCAGGTAGGCAACATCTTTTTGACTTTTTTCCTCCTTTTTTTTTTTTTTTTTTTTTTTTTTTTTTTTTTTTTTGTGTGTGTGTGGAGAGTTGATTCCTGTGACTCAATCCCATGCTACAATGCTAGGAGTGGATAACACTTGCCATAACTTCAGGTTGCGACCTCTACTTCCTAGTTTTTTCAGTATACAATGACTTGTTGGTCAATTTTCCAGTCTCGTTTCCCATTCTAGTAAATTAGGAAAATGCTATCGTGTTGTAGGCTTATATTGATCAAAATTGTTGTTCTCCTTGCCAATGATATTTTGAGTGTCCTAGAGTGGGGTAAACTGATGCAAAAAATAGTCCAATTGTGCAGACTTTATGTTGTATAGTTGGATGACAAGGTTAATGTTTTAGTTTGTTATATTTGAGTAGATATTTTTTCTCCTTTTATGGTTTAAGGCATTATTAGAGCTCTAATTAGATTCTTGGTGTAGTATGACTTATTTAGCATGCACACATGGGCACAGAATGTGGACACGGCATTATACGGATACTCTGACAAGGAAAATCCTTTAAAAAGGATATGGACACTGTAACATGTTAACATATTTGTCTTTTATACTTATTTTATTAAAAAAATGTAATTTAATTTATTAATTGATTATTCTGAAATTGTAAAATGTGGAGGATGAAACTTCAAAAATATCATGTATATAAATATGCGTTCTTACTAATTTCTTTCTTACTACATTTTTTGAAAATACTGGTTTTTTTCCCCTACTGGCACTACCCATTGCATATGGTCATACATATGGCGTATTATTTTTAGAAATGCATGAAACATTTAGGGTGTGTGCGTTGCATTCTCAGGGATATCGTACACTGTTCCTATTTAGAGATTCCCTACATAAGTTGTCTTGTGGAGTGCTCAAAATTATGAAATTTTATTATTAAATTAGAACATATTCAAGAATTTTTGACATGTTTCTAGGAACGTCTAAGAAGCGTTGATGTCCAACATGGCACAACTCCTCCCTGGACGTGTCCATGTGGTGATGTCTTTGAGTCTGATGGTGGATTTCACATGGTGAAGCTGTTTTAAATTAATCAAGCCTTGCAACAGTTAGAATGCTGTACGTATTATGTTCTACAATTTTTTCTAGATTTTTTTTCCCTCCAGTTATTAAGTGTTCATACTTTCATTAGTACTAAGTAGTTTTATTTTGCACCTTTAAAATTGTATTAAGTTAGCTCATTACGTATGACTTGGAAAAGCTTATTTTCTAGGCTACATAGAATACGTTTCCACTTTAACTTGAATAACTATTCCTTAGAAACATAATTTCTTATAAATGAAAGGATATTAGCCCCGAACCACATAACTAAGATAAGATGCACTTTCAGAGATGTATTTCTCAAGTTGGAATGTTGTTGACTTCTTGTTTCATTCCTACTTATATCAATTGTAAGTCTTGTTTTAAATTATAAATTATATGAGGACTTCCTAGAATATACCCGTGTTCATTTAAATGTTAGCACATGCTAGGTATATCTGAAGTTTTAGTGACATGCATTTTATGACTTTCACTGGACAGGATGACGATGGATGTGAGATGCTCACGCAATCCAAGAGCCCAAATTTTACCAGTGAGATTCTGATTGCTTTTCTGACTGCATGTTGAATGCATTCTTTCATTTTAATCTTCATGCAGCCCTTGGTGTTGTTGAATATTAGGTGAATGATATGATGGAGTTGAATTATCTCTCAAGCTAGGAATGCCTACTTAAGTTGAACAATGTATATATATAAAATAGGAAGTGGTTATTTGGTAAATAATGAATATGGATATAACATGCAATTTCTACTTCAATCTATAAAAACAAATCAACTTGAGATTTGTATTTACCCAAAAAAGCCAGAAAATAGCACTTCAACTTCAAATTGTATTTTAGTGAGTCTATCGATTTCTCGTTTATTTATTTATTTTATATCATACAATCATACGACTTTTTTTTTTTTCTTTTGTATTTTAAATCACCTTACTTTTTTTTCTTTTGAAGTAGTTGTACTTTATCTTTTGTATTTAGATAAAGTTATGATAACTATCCAATGTGAGTTTTTTAAGGCACAACAATTTTCCTTTAGAATAATCTGTGATGCGCATATGTGCCTTTTGAGTAACTGTCATGATACCCTGTATAATGTCTTTTGTTTTGGTATTGAAAATGTTAATCCCATGTAGAACTCAAGGCTGACTCTTTTGTACAAAAGAATATCGAAGTTTAGGTTGGTATGGAATTGCAAAATTTTGGTATTCTATCCAAACTGAGCTGAATTACAGTGAACGTTTTAATTCTTTTTTGTGATTCAGTAACCATGTCCTAGTCACAAAGCATTTTATTGACACTAGATCTTGAAATCAAGACATTTGGTGAAGCTTAGATATTGTGTTGGACACAATGTTTATTGGGTGGTGAGGTTGAGTACTCTTATTTATATTTACTGTTAAGGGCTCAATTTTGGACCTAAAAATGTTTTGTAGGTGCATCAGATGGCCTTAGGCAAGAGGCTCAATCATCTCTTCCAGCTTCGCAGTCTATATTCACCAGATCTTTTTGCAAAAAGATGGTAGAAAACGTAGGGTGGAGAACTGAACTTGAATATTTCTACTTTCTTGGTTTGTTGCGACTCTTTTGACCAAGCAATGCAATTTTTTTTATTACTCTTATTTGTTTGTGTAGCAGACAGGCAGTAGGACAGTAAATGCATTTGAAAGCGAACTATCATATTTGGGTCGTTGTGACCGTCGGAAAATGAGACCTAGTGGGCAGTTTTCACCAAGGGGACGTCACAAGAAGGCGTTATCTTCAAGGAAGTCACCTTTTCAATGCCCTACCATTCTGTCTGTTGATGTTGATAAGCATGAACCCTCAAATGGTGATCAAAATGATGGACAATGTTCTACTCCTTCACCTTGTCATTTTGAGGAAACTTTGTCTGGTTCTTTCTCTATGAAGTATGGATTTTTTCCCCTCTTCTGACTTTAGTATGTTTTGCTGAATTTGGAATGGAATTTTTATTTTTGTTTCTCTTTCATGAACTTGTCAATTTGAATACTGAAAATACACCTAAAATAATATTCTTATTTAGCCAAAAATGTTGCATAAAAACTGAAAGAGGAAAGCCTTCTATTACATTGATTTGAATACATGGAAGTCAGTTGGTCATAATAATGTTGGCCAAATTTATTGTTACTTGCTAGTGATGCTTTTATCTCATGGTTGGTTGCATGGAAGCCAGTCTCGTGTAAAGGCTTTGGTAACAAGTAAGCAATTCTGTGAGGTGATCGGGAAGTGATAGGAATTGCATGCTACTTCTGTTTGTTTTTCCTTCTCAACTCTCCTACAATTGAAAATTTATTCTTTCTTTGCTGTTCTCTAAATTTTTTTTCCCCAAGTATTTCTTGTGGAAGTCTCTGGTATCACTGCTTGATCTGAATAAATTATATCATAGATTCACATGTTTGATTCTTTTTTCTTTCTTTGTAGGAGGAAGGCTTCTCAAGTCCTGCCTTCAAATGATTTGAGGCCTAGGAATGTAAGTTCTTTCCATTTTCCTTCCTTATATCTTCTCTTTTTTAATTTTGTTATTCATTCCAGTATTTTGAGTTTAACACCAGAATGTGGACATTACGTGCCACTAGTATTTTCTTTTAGAATATGCTTTATGTGTTACTGGGAAGTCTTGGGCCTGCCTTAGTATTTATATCTAAATAGCATAGTTTCAAATGTCGAATAATTGATGACTTTGCTGTCTTTCCATGCTCAGGTTTCAAAGCAGGATTTCATATTCATGCATGTTTATGTACACATGCACACACCACAAATTAAAAGACTATGTGGTGAAATTAACTGAATGAAAATTGATGTGTTTGCTCATGGAGTTTCGTTTTCCTTGCAACAAAATCAGATAAAAGAAATGAAAGGATATGCTCCTTCAATTTGTTAACTGCGAGAACTGAAATGTTCTAGAAGTTTTACTTCATAACAATATGAAAATTTTAATCTTAATAGTGGAATTCCACACAGCTTTTGGATCATTTTAAAAAAATGTATTCCTAATTATCAATTTTGAATCATGTTGGATAAAGTAGTTGTAGAAAGAAATAGAAGAGTATTTGACTAATGCAACCATGGAAAAGTTGATCCAGTCTTGGCAGCTGAATTTTGTCCTGCAATAAAGTTTAGCTTGAAAGTCTAGTTTTTGAAAGTTTATATATTCCATATGAAGCTCTCATACCTTTGGGACAAATTTGGGTGTGCAAATGATGTGAGTCATGTAATGCTTTGCTGGCAATGTTCTCGAGCATGTTAAATGGACATTGCTATGGGGATTAGTTAATTTGAGCTAACCAGACACCATCTCAAATTTAGGGCACATATGTTGTAATGATGTCTGGTTATTCTTCGTAATTGGTGCATCTCGAAGTTCATATATTTAGGAAAATGGATGATGCCCAATTTTTTTTTTATATATGAATGCCACTTGCATGAGAGCTCCATATGGAATATATAAAAACACAACTTGACCAAGCATGTCTGGTTATTGTTTTGATGATTAAACAATCTATTACACAGGTGCTGCCACTCGCTTTTGGCTTGGTCTTTTTCGATGGATAGGAAAATGTTGAATGTACAGATGAGAAGAAGAAGAAGAAGAAGAAACAGAACGAGGGGAAGAGAGAAGCTGCTGTGTATATTATTTGATTCAAAAGCTTAGGGTTTTCCCCTTACACACAACTATTTATACTAATAAGAATAATACATAAAGACCAAACTACCCCCAACACTTAGCACTCTCCCTCAAGTTGGTGCAAAGATGTTTCTCATGCCCAACTTGCAACAAATAGGGTGAAAGATTTTACTACTAAGACTCTTAGTAAAAACATCTGTCAGTTGATCTTCAGACTTTACAAAAGGCATACATATCATGCCCTTAGTCACCTTCTCCTTAATGAAATGTCTGTCAATCTCAATATGCTTAGTCCGGTTATGTTGAACAGGATTGTGTGCAATACTAATAACAGCCTTGTTGTCGCAATACAAAGTCATGGGATCACTCCAATCAAGCCCTATATCACTCAACAAAGATTGAAACCACATTAATTTACATGTTCCATGTGCCATAGCCCTGTATTCAGCTTCAACGCTAGATCTGGAAACTACTGCCTGCTTCTTACTACGCTATGTGACTAGATTTCCCCCTATAAAACCACAGTAACTGGAGGTAGAGCGTCTGTCATCTATAGAGCTTGCCCAATCTAGATCTGTGAACGCTTCCAACCTCAAGTGACCATGATTAGAGAACAAAATTCCTTTTCCAGGGGCAGATTTAAGGTACCACAAAATGCGATAGACTGCATCCAAATGAGTTGCACGAGGATCATGCATAAACTGACTCACTATCCCAACTGCATAGGTAATATCTGGACAAGTATGAGAGAGATATATCAGTCTTCCCACAAGTCTTTGGTACCTTTCCTTTTCCACAAGCTCACCAACCCTACTATAAAGACAATGATTAGTCTCAATCGGTGAATCAGCTAGTCTGCAGCCCAACATGCCTGTTTCCTCAAGAAGACCTAGAATGTACTTCCTTTGAGAAATGAAGATGCCTTTATCAGATCTGGCAACTTCAATCCCAAGAAAGTATCTCAATGGACCAAGATTTTTTTTATCTCAAACACCTTGGCTAACTGCATATTGAGATGGGTCACCTCCTCCTCCTCATCATTACCTGTCAAAATTATGTCATCCACATATACAATAAGCACTGTTAACTTATATACATTGTGTTTGACAAACAAGGTGTAATCCGTATTGTTTTGTTGACACCCAAATCCCAGCGTTGCCTTTAGGAATCTATCAAACCAGGCTCTAGGAGATTGTTTCAAACCATACAAAGCCTTCTTCAATCGACAAACCTTTCCAACTGTAGACTGAGATGAGAATCCTAGAGGTACATCCATATATACCTCTTTCTCCAAATCCCTATGAAGAAAAGCATTTTTCACATTTAGATGCTGTAGAGGCCATCCCAAATTAACAGCACACGACAAAATAGCTCAAATGGAATTCATCTTTGCTACTGGGGCAAAAGTTGCTTGATAATTTATTCCATATGTCTGGGTAAATCCCTTAGCCACTAGTCTTGTTTTGTACCGTTCAATCGTCTCATCTGCATTGTGCTTAATGGTGAATACTCACATACATCCGACTGGTTTTTTCCCATTAGGAGGAGACACCAACTCTCATGTGTTATTTTTACTCAAAGCTTACATCTCTTCTACCATAGTTACCTTCCACTTAGGATCATTGATGGCTTCTTTCCAACCTTGCGGAATACACACAGAAGAAAGAGATGAAACAAAAGCACGATATGGAGAAAACAACAAATCATATGACACGAATTTAGAAATGGGGTGTTGAGTATAGGCTCTAACCCCCTTTTTGAGAGCAATAGGAAGACTCAAATCATCAATAACAAGACTATCAACAGCAGGTGAAGAAATGGGTTGAGGATCATTACCTGTAGAGTCAGTGGAAACTGGGTGTGGAATTGGCATAGAAGATGATGATTGACGTGGTGGCACAAGAGAAGCCTGCTCTTTCTGATGTCGTGAATAAGTCTCAAGATCAATTCTGTTCAAACGACCATCGATATCCGACTCCTCATCAATAGAACTGCTAGGCTCCCCCTCACCACAAATAACAGCCCGCTGATTAGGAAGGAAAAAAGACAACTCATGCTGATATGATGCCGTCTCATCCGCAATCTCATCAATACCACTCTCTCCCCAAGGAGATAGCGGAGGACCAGAAAAAAAGGACTTAGATTCATGGAAGGTGATATCCATACTAACATACAACTTATGAGTGTGAGGGTCATAGCATTTGTAGCCGTTCTGAGTAGCAGAATAACCAAGAAAGACACACCGGACAGCCTTAGGATCAAATTTCCCACGAGTACGAGGTTGAAGATGAACAAAACAGACACTACCAAAAATTCGAGGCGGAAGGGAAGAAGTGGGATAAGTCACAGGAAGAAGCTCAAGAGGAATTTGGAAGTGGAGGACATACGGTTAATAAGGTAAGCCGTGGTAAGAACAGTAGCCTCCCAAAAAGACTTAGGAACGTTCATGGTAAACAAGAGAGAGCGAGCAACCTCAAGGAGGTGGCCATTCTTGTGTTCAGTGACTCCATTCTGTTCAGGAGTGCCAACACAACTAGTCTAATAAAGAATGTCATGCTCCTCGAGGTATGCCCTAAAAGCCCCATCAACATATTCAGTCCCATTATCACTCCTAAGAATTTTGATAGTAGCATTGAAGAGATTGGAGATCATTTTATGAAAATCTTTGCAGCACGAGAAAACCCCATTTTTAGTACGAAGTAAATAAATCCAAGTCACACGGAAATAACAATCAATAAACGTGACAAACCACCGATAACAAAAGGTAGAAACCACAGGGGAAGGGCCCCACATATCGGTATGAATAAGCATAAAAGGAAAAGTACTTTTTTTATTAATTGAAGGATAACAAGTATGCTTATGCGTAGCAAACTCACAAGCATCACAAACAAAGTTATTCCTAGGACAATCTCGAACTAATGAAGGAAAAAAGTTTCTCTAAAATGCTAAAGGAAGGATGCCCCAAATGACGATGCCATTGATGAAGAAGACGAAGAGAGGAACCAGAAGTGCATTGAAGAGCCTGGGAGGACAAAGTTGATGCATGAATGGCATCCAGAAAGTACAGTCCACTTTGTGCTCTACCACTATCAATCATTTTCCTTGTAGCTAGTTCCTGAAAGACATAGTGAGTCGGAAAAAAAGTTACAGAGCAATTGAGAGCAATACTAAGGCTACTAACAGAAAGTAAGTTAGTTGAAAAATTAGAAACATGAAGAACAGATGAAAGCGAAAGTAAAGAGGTGCAATGAACAGAACCCTTGCCGGAGATAGAAGATAAAGTGCCATCAGCCACTCTATCCTCATCTCGCCCAGAACTAGGTGAATAAGAATGGAAAAAGCTAGAAGTACCCCGTCATGTGATTGGTAGCACCGGAATCAATGATCCAAGCAGATGACGAAGAGGTAGTAAGTGCACTAGCAGAAATACCTGTGTGGGCAAAGTTGGAAAAGGCAGAAGAGGAAGGAGTTAAGGCAGATGAAGAATCAAGTCGAGCCATCAAACGTCTGAGAGTGTGAAGCTCATCCTGGGAAATAGAACCAGCATCATTCGAGGCACTAGCAGTAGTCTCAAAAACATGTGCTTAAGGACGAACACCACGACCACGGCCTCGAGGAGGTCGGCCATGCAACTTCTAACAGTGTTTTCAACTGGTCCTGATCAACCAATGGACCCTTACCACCACCGTGAGGCTGACAAGGAGGAGTATCACGTAACTTGGGGGGGCTGACAACCATTGCTGACCAATCCTGAACAGGGGCATGCACCATAGCACTACGACGACTCTCCTCTTGCTGAACTAGTGCATAAGTCTCACGTAATGTAGGAACACCACGACCACGACCACGGCCTCGAGGAGGTCGGCCATGCAACTTCTAACAGTGTTTTCAACTGGTCCTGATCAGCCAATGGACCCTTACCACCACCGTGAGGCTGACAAGGAGGAGTATCACGTAACTTGGGGGGGCTGACAACCATTGCTGACCAATCCTGAACAGGGGCATGCACCATAGCACTACGACGACTCTCCTCTTGCTGAACTAGTGCATAAGTCTCACGTAATGTAGGAAACAAAGAGCGACCCAACACCTGAACCCGTATCTGATCATACTCTAAATTCAGGCCAGCAAGAAAGTCATACACCGCTCCTTCTCCATAGCCTGCTGAAACATAGCGGCATCCGTGGAGCAAACTGGCTGGAAACTCTGGTAGTAATCTAACTCCTACCATAAACCACTCAACTCAGCATAGTAGACTGCCAGAGAGCGATCCTTCTGATCCAAACCCCTAATCTTCTTTCGCAATTTATAGGCTTGTGCATCATTCCCCTGTTGAGAATACATCTAAGATGCAGCTATCCAAATCTTGTGAGCAGTATCCATCAAGAGAAAAGTCCGACTAATAGTAGATTCCATAGAATTGATAAGCCTGGTCATAACTAAAGCATTCTCGGAAATCCATTGAGCAGATAAAGCACTATCCTCAATAGGTTGTTGGGTACTACTAGTAATATAGCTAGTCAACCGCCGAGCAGCAATGGCAAGACTGCAAGAGCGGGACCAAATCAAGTAATTGGTATCATTAAGCTTGACTGGACTAATCTGGAGAGAAGGATTATCACCAAGAGTCATAAGACGACTCAGTCCACTCTCCTCCTTGCCCCTAGAGTCCTGACCCAAGCTGGCAACCATGAGATGAGGGAAAAAGAGTGCAGAAACACAAGCAGGATATCAAACAAATCCAGAAAACACCTAATCAGCACAACAAATCACCATCTAAGGCTAAAACAGTCCACGATAAGGCTAGAACAAAGCAACTAGATCAATTAGAAGCTAGAAAACTGAAGCAGAGCATCCAAACATCAAGAAAAAACCAAGGTAGGGGCAAAATACATCAAACCAGGGACAACAAACCCTTCAAGGTGTCCAGTCCGCTCCCCAGGGTGCGAGGGAAAGGGGAAAGAGAAAAAACTAGCAAACAAAGGTTCGAACAGTGACTTCCGAAAAAACACCCAATTTTGACGAAAAATCAAAAAATTGGAAAAAACACTCAATAATGACCAACAAATCAAAAACAGATCATAGGGTGGATACCCATTAAATTTCGAGCACACTGGAATTTTTTTTTTTTTTTTTTTGCAGACGTACCAGGATACAAGAACAGGAAGGAAATCTTCAAGGAGGAAGATGAAGCTTTGATATCATGTTGAATGTATAGATGAGAAGAAGAAAAAGAAACAGAATGAGAGGAAGAGAGAAGCTATTGTGTATATTATTTGATTCATAAGCTTAGGGTTTCCTCCTTACACACAACTATTTATACTAATAAGAATAATACATAAAGACCAAACTTCCCCTAACACTTAACAGAAAATTTTGGCATGGTCCTTAACTAAAGGTCTATGATTCTTTACTATTATATTCAGATTGAAGTATGTTTACCAGGACCACAAATAGTGGCACCCTAAATGGCTAAAAGCCTAAGAAGCACGGACATGTGACACGACATAGACACACGGACACAAAAAATTTTAAAAAATGCAGGTCATGACATATTGAGGAGATATGCAAAACATATAATTTTATATATTTATTGTATGTTATATTTTTAAATATTTAATATGCATTTATATCAAATTTTTAATTTTTTCAAATTTATCAACCTTTTTTTTTTGGGACTGTCATTACATTACCACTTCTATAGATTCCTTAGTTTCAGCATATCAATCCATAGTCATAGGTTGGGTTTTGTAGCACCTGAAACGTGCCTTGCGAACAGTGGTGATTATCTATAAACATCTACTTTCTGTGTATGGCCTGTGTTGGATCATCTCCGGAGTTATCCATCGATACGTTTCGGTCTTTGGTGTCATTTCTTCAGTATGCACCTCAATACAAGCCACCCCAAAATCCGCCATCTTTATGGATTTGTTTGAGGAAATCAAAAGATTGTCAGACTTCAGATCGCGTTGAATCAAACCAAGCCCATGCACGTACGCCATCCCCCTAGCAACATCCAATGCCTACTTGACAGCCAATTTCAAAGGCACAGATCGGTTCTGTCGCTTTGTCAAAAATTGCCCACCATACCATGGGTTTACGACATGCACCAATAAACTGAACTATGTTTGGATGCTTTAATGCAACCAGCTATGAAGCACGGGTACGAGTATTGGTACGATATAGGTATGTCGATACAGTAAAATTTTAAAAAAAATAAGGTACGGGTATGGCTTGGTACATTTGTAAAAAAATTATTTATTTTTAATTTGGAGCAGTGCAAAAATGGATTAAATGGTTTGATTTGTTAAGATTGTAAGAATTTATGTATTATTGATTGATGTTACAAGATTGATCTCTTTAGTACAAATGTGAGAGGCTCCTTATATAGGAGATATAGGTGTAGTAGGTGAAGTGGAGGTGGTAGTGGTGTAGGTGAAGTGGAGGTGGTAGTGGTGTAGTGGGTTAGGTTTAGTGGAGTAGGTGAGGTGATAGTGGTGTAGGTGAAGGTAAATTCTAACAAAGATCCAACCTACAATTAACACTTAATGTCAAAAGTAAAGGTATAAATCAAAATTAAATGTCATTATATTAAATAATTTACAAACCATAGCTTAATTTTAAAATCATGTTAAACATAAAATTAAAAACTAAAAAGAAATCTAGTGAAAGAAATTTTATCTCTATAGTAGAAGAAAATATTGTTTCGATTGAGGTATAGTATGGCTTGGGTATATACTAGGTACGTTTTGGTATGCCAAAAATTAAGCAGAAAAAATTTGGATACGTATTTCGTGTACCCAATGTGTATGCATAAGTACCATATGAAGTATCATATGCCGGTAAGTACGTAATACAGGTACAACATGTTTTTCAAAGTACTCATAATTCATGGGTGGCCAGCATTAGGACATCTTGCTGAAATTGTTGCTCCATCAAGTGAGCCCTCTCTAGGTCATTCTCTGGCCTTTCCAACAGCTTGATAACAACATCCTCACCATTGCAATTACCTTTGTAAAGTTTTCCAAAGCCCCCTGTGCAAAAGCTGGCTCCATATTAAGCTTCTTCAAATCAATTGTCCACTCATCAAAACTATCAAGCCCGTGTGGGAACATGAGGGTCCATTAGAGCTTGAGCCAATGCATCATCACTAAGACCATGCAAGACTTTTCCTCGGTTAGCACTCTGGGCAACAGAGTAGTTGTTGTTGACATGCTTCAATCCTTAGTGGTTTAGGATGCGAGTGTGGGAATCGTTTGATCCGACACTACTGTTATCAAGTGACATTGCAACAGAACCTCCACCATTGCTATGCAAACTACCAAAACTGTCAATTGACATGTTAGATCCCTCTCGAAGCTTATGATAAAAACCTTGAGACTAATCAAAATTATCGTGGTTGTTATTTAGGCCAATAATTCCAGTAAATTTTGGTGCCTCCAACATTTTCTTTGAAAGAGCAGCACAACCTTCAAAGTTTCCTTATTTCTTCAGCATCAGCATGTCCTAGCTCAAACCCTTTTACCAAAACCCTCGATCAAGAGGGCTTGATTGTGTGATTCCGACGGTGTAGTCCTTGGAGACGATTCAACAGTGTAGACAAAGAGATCGATTCCAAAAGTGAAGTGAATGCATTGTCTTGGCCCCCCTCTATTCAACACACACCGACACGAATTTGTAGAGAGAGAAGTAGAGAAGATGAAAGCACAAATTTATCAATCTTAAGTATGCTATTTTAGAATATAAAAAAAATTAAGAATTTTAATTTTGAAACAATAGTCCTCAACGTGTGCTTAACGTGTCCCCAGCGTGTCTAACTCTTTCTAGCATGTCTGACATGTGTCCGGCACGTGTCCATATCTAACACGTGTCGGACACCTGTACATGACCTCCGGAGAGATGTCCGTGCTTCATAGCTGAATGCTATATAGCATATACTTTTTTTTAATTACTATTATTTTTTCTCGATGTGTTTGCTAGAATTTGCTTGTCTGTCGAACTTTGAATGGGCACGAATTTATGTTGCTTTGGTCATTTAGAAATAGTAGTAGTTTTTTTTTATAGAAAAATCATTCTTTTTGGTCCATTGGTGTTTTATATTCTATACCGAAGCTGACTGAGGCAATGAGCAAAGAGAATGAATCAGGCTTCTGGCTATGAGGATGGCCAGGGAAAATAATGGTAGCATTCATCTCTTGTGATTTGTTGCTTTTACAACAGTTTGCCACGAAACTTCTTGTATTTGATAGTGCAGTTGCACACTATTTCAGTTGCAGCTCTTTGTACATTTTTTAGTGGTATGTTTCATTGGGACTTTTTGAGCAATTGTATGCTGCTTAAGTTGCACCCGCTCATTGAATTTGAGTAATGTGTTCTGTTGGAAGATTTGCAGTTGATTTACATCTTTTACCTTGTATTCCTGAAAAGTGTGCTTCTTGTGAATATAGGTATATATATATATTTATTTTTGGGAGATTGTGTAGTATAAACTTTATTTTGTTTCTATGGATTTTATGGATTTGTAGTTTATGGATCTAATCGTCTAATATGTGCTATGATTATGTAAACAGGGACGAACGGTTGTTCTAGTGGACGAGGAGGAGCCTAAGCTCGTAGAGTCGGTGGAACTAGAAGATAAATTAGATGAATGGTAAATAGAACTTTCGGTTTGGTTTTTTTGATACATTTTTTCCTTGATATTTTAGCAGTTAATTGATTCTGGTTCCTTTCTTTCTTTTTCTTTTTTCAGCATGAAAGGCAATAAGATCTACTATCCTTCAAGGTACACTATATCCTAAAAGATAAATGAGTATGACTTTCTTTGAAGAGATTTCTCTAAGATATATTCTGCATATTCTTTTTTATTTCGTCATTTTTTCTTTAAAAAAATTTAAAATCTGTGGATACAGTGATGATCCAGAGTCGATAGAAATTTGTTACTCAGACATGGAATGCCTTGCTCCAGAAGCCTATCTGTCGTCAACTATAATAAATTTTTACATCCGGTAAGTTTGCAGGGCTATTTGAAGATGATCTGATGAAATGCCCTAGGATTTATCAAGACTTGCACATTTTTGGTTGTTCCAAGTTTTCAAGAGTCATGTTTGGAAATTTATTTTATTGTTTTCTTTGTCTTTTTTGTTAAGTCCTTCTCTTTCAAGTCTGATATATACACTTGATGCCCACTAACCCCAACTGTCAAAAAAAAGAAAGAAACAAAAAAAAATACAACAAACTGACATTCGTAAACCTCAACATAACAAAATAAATAAAATGAGTTAGTCAGTCTCTTTTTATACAACTAACTAATAAAGTTCCACAGGAACAATGAAATGTTAATTCCTCTCTAATTAACAGGCAAAAATTAGTCTTGTTTTCTGCTGCTTGAAGTGATCAGATTTGTGCACTGTTACTGACTACTGTCATGGCTACTGTTCCATTTCTTAAGTTATTATAAGAGGTTAGCTGATTATTTGATGTTTTTGCCATTGTTGAAACATCTCTTTGATTGAATGTTGTCTAAAATTTAGAAACCAAAAATCTAGAAGTTCCTCAAAAGTTGATCAGGGCGGCACCTGCTTGCTGCAGCTAATGCACAACATACTAATTCACATGAAGGCCCCTCTGTACCCAAAGGATAAAACTGAAATCAACCTTATTCCATGAAAAATTGCACTTATCTTCTACCCTTTCTTGTTTGGTTCCTGAACTCGGTTAGCACTCTTTAGGTCCAAGTAAGCTTAACTGGCTGTAAAGTTGTGCAATGAGTAAATCTCCGAGACTGCACTCTGTCAAACCACAAATAGGTGAAGTATAGCACGTCTTAGCTTGATATATGATTTTCTGTCACTGGTGTCAATTAAATTCTTCTCATGGCAAACCAATGTGTGGGACTGTACTGACAAAATTTACAAATTGAATGACCAGAACTCTGCACTTAGCAATTTTTTCTCTTGGTTTACACAGAAAGACTCTCCAAAAAGCAAACCTGATTCTATCTAATACTGGGATGGCAGTGTTCAATTTGTCACTTGCGTATCTTGGTTGGGGCTCACACGAGGGGAGCAAAACCAACCATCTTCCAATAAAATGTATTGATCAAACTAAGTCAATTTTAGATATGTTTGATATACTCACTCATTATTTACATTTGAGATTTTGAGTATGGTTCATTTGACTTGCCTACTCAAAGTCATAACTATTACACTCATCACTTCTTGCTTATTTCAACCAAATAGGAATTCTAAATTATTTTTCACTCTTGATCAATTTGGCTTTAGTAATTGGAACTTTAGGTATTAGTATTACAGAGTTGATATTTGCAGAATACTAGAAAATGTGACTACAGTTTAGGAGTAGTAAAACATATATCAAATTGGGCCTGAGATATAGTAATATTCCATCATCTTTATCATGAAAGTGCGCTCTCCATTTCTTATGCACATGCCATGTTTTGATCATATTCTTGTTGCATAAGTGGTGGAGAGTTTTAGCGTGATTTTGATATTGAAGTTATAATTTTCTGTGATTTGTTGCTTTATTTTGGCTAGATATTTGCAGCATCCAACTTCTTCTACAGATAGGGTAAGATGTGATTATCACTTTTTCAACACGTACTTCTACAAGAAACTCAAAGAGGCAGTATTGAAGGTATTTCTTCCCATTGGAGTTATTCCAGATCTATTGTTCATTTGCCTGGTTAAAATCTTGATTCAAATTTGTGTCAACATAAGGTTTTGTTAATTTTTATTATTTGATCTGAAACTAGTTTAGGTAGATAGTGAGTTTAACTTTGGTATACAGTGTTGCTAATGTTTCCTGAAGGCAAAAGTAACTATATCATACAAAGACATAAGCATTGCTTGAAGCTTTTCCTTTTGTAAGGTTTCTGGTAGTCTGTTTGGGACCACTCATTATGATATAAAAATTCAGGGTGTATACCTTTCCTAGCAGTATAAATTATCAGGTGTAAGGAGATTCTTTTGTTTTTTGTTTTTGGCCATCCAGAAGCTAAGCAGAAGGTAATTAGAATTTCGACCTTAATAGTAAAATATCTATCAAAATAAAATGACGCTTTAACATTTTCTTTGATGCAATAATACTTTTATCTTTGAATATGAAACACAAAATAAATTCTTTGATGCAATAATACTTTTATCTGAATGCTAGTTTTGATATTGGATCTTGCATCTTGTGTTAATGCATAACTTACCTTTCCCAATGATTTGTGGCAGAGTAACAAGGAAAGTATATTTGCCAAGTTCAGGAGGTGGTGGAAAGGTGTTAGTATATTTCATAAAGCATATATACTTCTTCCAATACATGAAAAGTAAGTTGTTCGAGTTGATGTTGAAGTTTTGTATAAATGTGATGTCGGAACTTTTTGAGCATATGGAGAGAAATTATTCTAATGTATGAATATTCACTTACTGATTGAAATGGTGCTTTTTTGTTATCTCATGAAAGAAGACGATATTTATACACCACACACACAAAAGAGGTAATGATATATGACTTTCATTACTTGTTTGTGGCTAGTATTAGCAACTATTTGACTATTTTGCTGGAAAACCATGAGTAATTGCCAGAAGTTTCTTTAATTACAGAATGAGGTCTTCCCTCCTCCAACACTCAATCTTTGTAATTTTTCCTTCTTTTACTCTTTACTTAATGGAAATGAGGTTCAGATTTTGATTATGAGAGAGAATTATCTCCAATTCCTTAAATACGGAAATCTGATTTAGGCCGTTGGCAGAGTTATTTGAATATCCTATGCAATGATCATGCATCTTTCAAATAGTTCCTAACGAAAACATTACTTCTTGTACTACTTGTGTATGCATCTTTCATTTAGCTAGTGCAATTTTGTAACATATATTGCTCTCTGTGTCAATTTCTTTTCTCATGTGGCTTTAGTTATTGCAAATTTCTTTACTTCTTTCTGGTTCTTTCTCCCCCCCGCTTCTAATGCAGTCTTCATTGGAGCTTGATTATTATTTGCATCCCAGACAAGGAGGATGAATCAGGACCTATCATACTTCATTTGGACTCCCTTGGACTTCACTTTAGTAAACCAATTTTTGATAGCATTAAAAGGTGAGATATAGCAAGCCTTTGAAAAGTAACAATCTGTGATTATGCTAAGAAAATGTTTCCTGCTTCAATATGCATGTATTGTATCAATAATACAGATTTTCAGCTATTTGGAGTCTTAAATATTGATTGTTCTTGCGTTGTGGAAAGTAAACAATAAGTTTCTGAGATGAGAGATTACTCTGACATGTGCTTCTTCTTTCTTTGTTGGATTTTCGCAAAGTATGACGGTAGGGGTTTATTGCCAATTATGATAAGTTTATAACTGCTAGTGGCTTGACAATGAGAATGAAAAATTATTCATTTTTTATTGTCTCTTCTTGCTTCCGTTGCGCCCTTTGACAAGGAGATTACTTGCCATCTTGATCGTTTATTTGGCAATTCTAATATGTTATTTCCTATGAAGCATGGGTACTTCTATAAACATGCCGTACCTGTACTAGGAACTTACTAGGTACTAGTACTTCTACATACATCCCGGTACCTGAAACACATACCCAAATTGTCTTCTTAATTTTTTCCGTATTCCAGAGGTATCTAGTATATACCCAAGTCATATCTCAACTAAAGTAGTATTTTCTTCTGTACAAAGGTGAAGTTAGTTTCGTTAAACTTTTTTTTTATGCTTCGCATGATTTTAAAATTAAGCTTTTGTTTGTAAGTTATTTAATATAATGACATTTAATTTTGGTTTACATCTTACTTTTGGTATTAAATGTGAATTTTAGGTTGGATTATTTCGTTCTGTAGTACACTAGTACATGAAATTCGTAATGATTTTATTATCATTTAATTCTTCTTATCTGTATGACATCTATTAAGTTTGTTCTGTTTTATAACCTGTTCCTGTGGAATTTTCATTTAATGGGTTTTTAACATGAAGCTTGTTTAAAGTTGAGAAATAAGTGAACTGTTCTCTGCAGCTTTTTGAAAGAAGAGTGGAAGTATTTGGATCAGGGCGAGTATCCTTCAGACCTTCCTATTGCGGACAGAATATGGAAAAATCTCCCTCGTAGAATCGAGGAAAAAAAAATTGTGGTAAATATCTTTCTTGAGTGCCTTTAATTTGGTGTTAGTTTATGTTTTTTTTCTTTTTTGAAGTTCCCTTCTCTAAACAAATATGCCAGGTAGATATTACTCTTTAACTTCAGACCTATTGTAGCTAATACCTCGAAAGCAGTTGTGAGTAGTGTCTTCAGCTCTTAGTAGGAGGAAACTCCTAGTTGGGTGATGTTTCTTGCTAAAAAACACAATTCCACTCTCTCAAGTAAGAAACTTGTAAAACCTCAGTTCCGTCAAGGAAAAAAACTCCCTCCCAATTGAGATAGAACCTCTCAAACATACAAATCTAACAAAAACAAAAGAAAATCAAGTTCTGGTTATTCTAGTAGTTTCTATTTACACAGTATTTAATTATATATAACAAAGACAAGTTGTAGTTGATATCAATCTCTAATATTTGTCTATATTTTAATACATATTATTACAACTAAGCAGGAAAAACAATTGTTAGAATATATTTATAGATTTAATATTAAAATATATAGATGTCTTTATATGCACCTTAGAAACTTATATATGCCCTTGCTCTCCGTGCAACTAAGCTTTGAGTTCAACTATCTTGGTTTAGTTCTAGTAGTAATTTGGGCTACCATGGTGTGGATGTCATGGTTCGACCCCATCACATACCATAAAAAAATATATTGAAAGACCTTGCTGAAAGTTATACATGTACTAACAACTAGGAAGCGCACAGGCACAGGCAGCACGAAGCAATGATTTTAAAGAAATTAGGATACTGACAAGATGGGTATATGACAAAATATTATGGCCTTGTTTGGCTTGATTTTTAGAGTAATTTTGAAGAAATTTTTTTAAAATTTTGTTTGGTTTAGTGATTTTGGAAAAAAATTTCCAAAATCACTCTCTCTCTCTCTCTCTACTACACATCAATCAATCACTTTTTCTCTCTCCTCTCTCTTTCTCAATCACTTTTTCTCTCATACACATCTACTCAACTACAACAAAATATCAAATCATTCTAAACTCTCATACTTCAAAACAATTTCCAAAATATATAACCAAACAAACCAAACCAAAAAAATTTCTAAACTCTCTCTCCAAAATTTTTTTTGAAAATTTATCTCCCAAAACCAAACCAAACCAAACCAAACCAAGCACACCCTATATTTTTATTTGTTAATTTTTATCTACAAACAATCAAAAAAATGAAAAACTAACATTAAAGAATACTATAATTTAAACATCATTTAACATATAAGGTACTATTTCATCAATGGTTAATTATTACATTACAAATGTCAAAAAGTATTCAAGTTCAATACTTAAAAAGCATCCATACCTTCTTGTGGTTTGTGCCCCACACTTCACCCCTTGCATTTAGAAATAGGATACTCTTCATGTAGTTTTGGACTAAGGGTGGAATTATTATTATTATTATTATTTTCAATTTTCAACTACTTGTTTCTAAATACTCTACTTTGATCATTAAATCACCATCCCAAATGTGTCCTGTGTCGTGTCTGCCGGAGGACATATTTAGCCTTTTCCCCAAAGTTATCTTCGCTTAAGTATCACTTTCAACCTCCAACATTGTAGTAAAGTACTACGAATTAGCCAAAGAAAACTTTTCTTCCTCGTCCTTTTATTAATGGCAGTATTTTTCTTTTTCGGGCACATGGTGTCAAGAATTTGTCACATTTCCAGTGAGTTTTTTATTCTAACTTGTACCTTTTCTGCCTTACTCTATTCATTCTCTCACCAGGTTCCACAACAGAGAAATGACTATGACTGTGGTCTGTTTGTTCTTTTCTTTATGGAACGTTTCATTGATGAGGCTCCTCAAAGGCTAAAAAGGAAAGATTTAGCAATGGTAAGAGTATTTTCATTCCTTCTTTTATTGAAATTTTTTGTTGACTCCTTAAGGCTATGTCTGGATCTAGGATTGAGTTGAGTAGAGGTAAAAGGAAAACGAAAGGTAAATGCAACAAAAATTTAGATTCTATTTCATTCACCGTTCCCTTCACATTTTCTTTCCCTCTGCAAATCATTGATCCAAACACTACCTAAGTGTTTCAACTTCATACTTACACATCAATATTTACCTTGTTTAATACATTATCATTCTCAGTTTGGTAAGAAGTGGTTCAAACCCGAAGAAGCCTCTAATTTGAGACACAAAATCCGGAGATTACTTGTGGAGGAATTTCGGAATGCAACAAAGGATAAATTTATTTTGGATCATGAGCCTGAGCCGTTGTCTTCAGTGAGTCCCTGAGGAGAAAGGATCAAGCACCCAATCGATTGTTGATTTAGGTTGGTCCATATGCTTTCCTGGTTCTCCAAAATTTGGAGTTCAGTCTTCCATTTGCTGTATAGCTCTTGTAGTTGCTGCGAATATGTTGTGCCACTTTCACTGATTCAAGGAAATTAATTGTGAATTTGATGTGCAAAAAATTTTGGATTTACTTTCAAATTGGTCAGTCCAAATGCCAATTTGTCTGGTATGTGGATTCACATTGTAGAAGTCAATCATCTCATAACAATAGTTTTAGAGGCACTTGAAAAAAAATGCTTTGTATAGGAGGAAAACAAACTGTTGCTGATAATTGGTTCTGCACATGCCTTACCTCACTTTCTTTGTAGTATTGTTTTCTGTGAGGAAAGGAAACAATGTCAAAGCTTCTATTAGGTTATGTTAATCTATGTTTGGATGTTGGAGTTGTGCAAGGGTTAAAAAAAAAGAAGAAAAGAAAAAAAGAAAAGGATTTGTAGATGAAATAAGGGAGGGTGGTTGAAGTAAAAGAAAAGGACTAGGCTAATCATTCTAGTAGTAAAAACTTATTTTTTTAGATAAATCGTTTCAATTTGTTTTCTTTTTACAAATACTTTCAACAATTCAAGATCCGACATAGCTGATATCAGCTTTTGAATTTTCTCTTTTCAAAAGTAGAAGATTAAAAATAATAATAAATAAATAAATAAAGGAACAGAGAACATGAGGGTATTTTATCCTCGAGTAAACAGGGTTATTATTGTTTTTTAAACTGGCAGGGCAATAAACGAGTTGAACAAGTGCATAGTAGTATGATGTTGAAACTTGACTTGAAAACTAATAGGTTCTCAAATGTGTTTAAGCTTGATTTGGCTATCTTTTGAGCCCATCAAAAATAAACTTTTAACTAAGTTGATTTCAATTAGCTTGATTTTATAATATTTATAATTAAGTTGAGTCAAGTAATAAGTCGTTTAAATTTAAAATTTTTACGTGAGTATTAAAATATGTTTAAATTTTCAAACAAATTAAATGCGAGTTAAACTCGAACAGCTCAATTCATTTTACTTTTAACACTTGGTGATCCTAAGTTTCCCCCCGCCCAAAAACAAATGGAGAGAGAGAGAGAGAGAGACCATGTACCGGGTCATCTAACCTTGTTCAATGACTGGGCAGTGTTAAGCATGATAGGTTTATTCATTGTATGCTATGGCCCCAGGGAAACCCGGGATAAACGGGGCATTTTTCAAATTAAGTCATATTACCAATCTATTTTCTAAATTAGGCTAAAACGTAGTTGTGAATCACGCTTTTAATATTTTTATGCCTATCGGGCGGAAATTTTGTGAAATTGTAAAAGTGTGTTTCCAATCCACGTTTTTATTTTTATTTTTATTTATTTTATTTTATTTATTTATTTATTTTTATTTTTTTAAAAAACGTGGTTACAAACCATACTTTTAACTAAATGTTTTTCTTCTTCTAAAAACGTAATTGTGAACGACATAAAAATGTAAAAATGTGTTTTGAAATCACGTTTTCACCACAAATTGAAACCAGTCAGAGGCTTCAGTCACACACACTCACACTCACACTCACTCACACACACACACACACACACTCTCTCTCTCTCTCTCTCTCTCTCTCTCTCTCTCTCTCTCTCACACACACACACACCCACACACACACTCACATATATAATTTTTAATATATATAATTTTTATTTTATAAAATTGAGACTAATATTAAATATATATAATAATAATTTATAATAACAAATAATAATCAACTATATAATTTTTATAGTTTTGTAAATATAAATCATTTTTATATAATTTTAAAAATAATTTTTTACAAATTAAATTGAAACAATCATACATACGTATATATATAATCTGTCCAAAAGTTAAAATGATAATTATTTTTTTACCCTTAAATAATATTTATTTTTTATTTTTTATTTCTTAACCAAATTAATTTTTAATTTTTAAAAAAAATTCTAAAAATTAAACTATACATAGCCTAAAAATCTTTTGATAAGTCATTTTTTATGTTCGTAACTTATTTAATTATTTGTTAATTTTACGACATTTTTATCATCCGAGGCATGTTTGGTAACCATTTTGTGTTTCAGTTTTCAATTTATATTTGCAAAAATTTAAAAAATTATCATAAAAACTTGTTTGATATTTTTTTTAGTTTATAAATGGTTGTCTCAATTTTTAAATTTGAGAAAAAAATATAAATTCAAAAAATGAGTTTACGTTTTTTCAAATTAAAAAAAAATGAGTTTACATCTCAATTTGAATTTTTTTTCAAATAAAACTCATTTTTTAAAATTTTTGAATTTTTGAATTTTTACGTCTCATTTTTTTGAATTTTAAAAAAAATGAGTTTTATTTGAAAAAAATTCAAATTGAGACATAGTGTCTGTTTGGTGCAGCTTAAAAGCTGCTTATTTCAGCTTTCAGCTTAATTTAAGCTATTTTGATGTGTTTGGTTTAGCTTAACAATGCAGCTTATAGCTTTTTGTAAGTCAGAAATCAGCTTATTCTTTGAGTGGGGCAGGAGATACTTAATTAATAAGTCAGAAATCAGCTTATATTCATAGTTATAAACTATAAGCTATTAAAGCATAAGTTATAAACACTTTCCCACAGCTCTACCAAACAGGGCCATAAACTCATTTTTTTTTTTTTGAATTTTTAAAAAAATGAGTTTTATTTGAAAAAAATTCAAATTGAGACATAAACTCATTTTTTTTTTAATTTGAAAAAATGTAAACTCATTTTTTGAATTTAGATTTTTTTTCTCAAATTTACAAATTGAGACAACCATTTATAAACTAAAAAAATTATCAAACAAGTTTTTATGATAATTTTTAAAATTTTTGTAAATATAAATTGAAAACTGAAAACAAAATGGTTACCAAACATGCTTCATATGGTAAAAATATCGTAAAATTAACAAATAATTAAATAAGTTACCAACGTAAAAAATGACTTATCAAAAAAAATTTAGACTATGTATGGTTTGATTTTTAGAATTTTTTTTAAAAAAATTAAGAATTAATTTGGTTAAGAAATAAAAAATAAAAAATAATTATCATTTTAACTTTTAGACAGGTTATATACATACGCATGTATGGTTGTTTCAATTTAATTTGTAAAAAATTATTTCTAAAATTATATAAAATATATAGTTAATTATTATTTGCTATTATAAATTATTATATATATTTAATATTAGTCTCAATTTTATAAAATAAAATTTATATATATTAAAAATTATATATGTGAGTGGTTGGTGTGAGAGAGAGAGAGAGAGAGAGAGAGAGAGAGAGAGTGAGGGTGAGTGACTGAAACCTCTGACTGTGGTTTCAATTTGTGGTGAAAACGTAATTTCAAAACACGTTTTTACATTTTGACTAAAAAAGTGGTTCACAATCACATTTTTAGAAAGAAAAAAAAAATCAGTTAAAAACGTGGTTCATAACCACATTTTCAAAAAAAAAAAATAATAATTAAAAACGTGATTTGTAATCACGCTTTCTTAATTAAAAGCGTAGTTTGGAAATACGCTTTTACAATTTCACAAAATTTCTGCCCGATAAGCACAAAAACGTTGAAAGCATGATTCACAACCACGTTTTAGCCTAATTTAGAAATTCCGTCCAAACTAGGCCTAGTTTGAAAAATAGATTGATAATTTGACTTAATTTGAGAAATGCCCCGGATAAACCTATGGGTTAACCAATTCAAACCCAGAAGCGGCAATGTCACCATTGATGAACAGGGAAGCATGAATCATGTTTTTTTTAAGGAGTAATACTACAAATCCACTTTTATAAACCAAAAAATTACCCAGAAAATAATCTCCACCACACCTTACATGAACTCCACACTACATAAATTAATGTCTACCACACAATCACCTACTCAAAAAATTCTGGATGATTAAGTCTAGATTTCTGAGACTTTCCTTTTTTTTAGAGAAAAACATGAATAATGTTAGGAGGTTCTTTCCACAATATCCAACACCAAACAGCTAATCCTCTGGATTGCTCAATGGGGAAACATAACTATGACTAAATTTCATTCTTTATGGAATCTGTTCCTATTTCTTGGAGTAACTTTTCATTTCCATCAACAAAAAGATGGAGGTAACCATAGGAACATGAAAGATTAAAAAAGTTTCCATCACAATGACAATACTGGTTACCATCTGAATCAAACATGAAAACAAGGTTAAATAACTTGCGGATTGTATTTGTTTCGATACCCATCAACTCATCTTGAATAGCTAGCTAAAGCAACCATATTTCCACCAAACAAGGTGACATGGACTGCGCGCTTATCATCCTCTTAAGAAGCCGGCTCCACGAGTGATACTGTATACCCCGTGAATTATGCCCAAGGACCAATCCAAGAGGTACGATAGGGATCTATCCTGCTTGCCTTGCCACTCACAAACTAATGCACTTGCAAGATGCTTAGTGTAGAATTCGCATCCCTAATGAGTCCGTACGTCACACAAGGCCACTATATAATTTGCATGTTCTATATGTTCATAAGCTTGTATCATGAGTTATGCTATTTTTTTTATCAATCAAGAGTATAGGTGACATTCATAGTTAGTATGATCTAGAGAGTACTTGCAAGAAATAAAACTGGACTATCAGAGCTAATGGAGAAAGAGAGCGAGAGGGATTAGGAGAAGTTCTTTACACATCTACTCGTGATCATGACATTTTTAGTATCTTTACTTACAAATGTACAGAATATGTATATCTTCAAACTAACTGAAGTAACTACATTCGGCGTTTCTTTTTCTCGGGAGTGGCATGTACTTGGGTTTTCATCCCATACATCCTCAGTTGAAAATTCTCAAAAGCATCAGAAACTGCTTCGACCTGTATGATATTATCAATACATCAACTGACAGAATAAAAGGGAGCAAAGCAAATTCATGATTTAAACATAACCCATATTCTTTTTGACAAACCAATTCGGGCTTCTTCGAGTACACCCTCACTATCATATCTTGATAATATGCAGGCAGCAAGTGACTGATGCGCTCATCCTGTATATGGAATTTCTCATTGCTCTCGTAGTCCTGGTAAAAAGAAAAGCAGTTGGAAGTAATTTATAGATTTAAATCATGAATTTTGTAGGTTGAAGTAATCTCCATTGACAGGAACCTTTGTAAAGAGAATTCAATACAGATTTGGGCAGCTAAAAAAGTGTAGTACCTTGAAAAAGTTGATCCTGGAAGAGGAAAACAGATGCACACAAGACTCATTGTTAAATGAAGTTAAAAAATGCAAATTGAATCCAAGAGTTTTGAGTGAATGAATAAATATTTCATCATATTTGTTATCCGATTCCTTCCCACATACCTTTCAACAGGATTTTTCCTTCCATGTGTCAAATCAATTTTAACATTGCTCACAGCAACATCTTCTTCTTTTAGTGTAGCACTGCCAGTTTTCTAGTTGAAAAAAACTTACTGTAAGTGATTCTGTTTCTCTAGGAAAAAATATACAAATTTATTAGAATAAGATTTAAAAGGACCTGAGAACAAATGATATCTTGGGCAGTGACGTTTTTGAAGTGCTCCAGCTTGTCCTTGGGAACAGCAAACTCATTGCAGAACTGCAAGAGGACGATATATTAATATGGTCATGTTGCCTTAACAGTGTATCAAAATAATTAAAGTATGCATATAACAAGCTTTTGAATTACATTAACTCTCATGTTAAGTATTCACGTACCTGGTACAGATCCCTTCTCCGAATCCGCTGGATCAGATCTCTAGACTCCTTGAGCTGTTGGTCGGAAGAAGTTTCAATTCTTTTTATTATCGAGTCATCTAGCTACAATTTTAAGTAAGTGGATTACTACATAATAGCATAAGAAATACAACACAACCCAATGCCATACCAAATTTGAGGTTTTTTTTATTACTAAAAGGTCGTCAAACCTTCCAGTATTCAGCTGGATCCTGAATGCTTGATGCCAGTCCAAAATAATCATTTGTTTTTTGCAGTGCATCTACAAACATGAGTTCTATTGCCTAGAAAAATAAGATGTGTCAGATTCATTGCATTTAATGTTCAAATGTAAACAACGAAGCAGAATTTCAGAGCTACGTAGTATGCACTTGTTGGTTTATATATAATAAGATTTAAGTATGTTTGGTACCTTTACTTTGGCATGCATATAGACTGTTCGATGAAGATCAGCACGAGAGGAGAATAACTTGTGGATGGTAAGATCTGACCATATTATCATTCATATGTAAATAAAATTAGCAAACAATACGATGAATATTGATATAGACGGGCAACAGACATTTGAAAACATACGTTCCTTAGCACGATAACATATTTCATCATCTATAACTCGCATATTTTCCAAAAGCCTGCATGTTACAAAAATAAAACATAGTTTTTAAGATGGTACAAGTTGAAGCAGTAAAAGTTTCACATAGCAATAGTGAAGTAATAAACAAAACCTAATTATGACCTCTGAAAATGGAAACTGCAGCCTAGTCCACAGGCACGAGAGTCGCGAACAATGTAGTCAAATCTGCCAAACAGATGATTTATCAATAAATCTCAAACTTCAAACCTATAATCACACATAAAAGCTTGTGCCAAAGGAAGGGAAAAGGGATAAGTGGGTTATACTTGTCTACATCAATCCCATTTCGACCATTTGCAACAATATCATATAAGAAACGCTTCTCTTTTGAACTCTAAAATGGAAGAGGATAAACAACACGAAAATAAGAAGAGGAATTAAAGTTGGGGTAAAAGCATAAGAACGAGTTCAGAGGTGAAATGAAATATTTTACAGTAACAAACACCAGAAAATCCTTGAACTGTCTTCACTCACTTTTGAAGGAGCATTTTCAGAGCTAGCAATTATCATTTCCTGTTGAAAATCACACATATATCTTAGCATAGAAGAAAAAATATAAATAAATAAATAGAGGAAAAAGTCTCAAATAGTCTCTAAAAATTTGTCTAATAATTATGCTACTAATAAACTTACATATTATTTTTATTTATGCTCAAAACTAATCAATGCAAGATTTTTCAGAAGCCAAGTAGAACTCAAAGGCCAAAAAGCTGCAAAGATGTCAATGGTGAGATACATGTGAAATCATTCAGTACATCCAGTCTCAGCAAAGGGATGTTGAACACAAGAGTAAGTTATTGAAGGTCCATGTAGAACTATGTGCTCCTAACACTCATGTCCCTTTTACCACTTGGAATGTTGAAACTTAGCATCTTTTCATCAAGTGTTAAGAAATAAGTGGCAGGAAATTGCTCACGAAAAACTTGATTACTAAAGGAACAGGAAAACATAGAAAGGATGAGGATTTAATATAACAATATAACCTTCACTTTCTTAAGACTTTCAGGATCAATGTCAATGTTGTGCACATCAACAATGTGGTCTATCATCTTCAGAGACATTTCCTCATGAGACCTACAAAAGGTTCTATCAAATTAATAACCAAAATCAAGAATTGAAATCATCCCCTAATAAGCAATTTAACAATCTATTTCACAAGAAAGCATTGAAATCATTCCCTGATAAGCAATACTATGTATGAGAATATAACTGCTTTATTGAAGTATACTATTTCAAAAGGTCAAAATTGCTGAGATGGTATACAATAGTGTATTTTTTGTAACAAACAGTTACCAATAAACTTGCCTTGCCTATAAAAGTGTTTACAAATCAATCATGTCCATCCAAAAATCGAAATGCTATCTCATTTCTACATGGTTTTGCTCCCAAAAAATTGGAAGGCCCCATGACCCCCATTATAACCCCCTGTATGCCCAGCCCATATGACAAATCAGTTGAGTGCAAGGAGCAAAGAGCAGAGGAGCTTCCCCTGTACCAAACTGGAAATAAGAGAAGTCACATCTGGATTCTTAAGTACGTGGAAAGGAGGGAGGCACAAAAACTAAGAAGCATGGACACTTCTAAGAAGGTGACGTATCCGTTTCAGACACTGACACTCTTAGGACACTTGTCCGATACTCTTCAAAACGTGTCCTATTTTTTAAATTTTTTTAAAGACTCGGATACTCTTTGGACACTTGGAGGACACACTTGTCTATTGCTTAAACACACGTGTCTATCAATTAGACACATGTGAAACTAATTATAAGTTTGAACAAAACAACTTAAGATACAATAATAAAGCAAAAATCATATAAATTTATAGGAATTAGTATCATATTATATTTTTTTATTATCTTTGAATGATATATTCATATATATAACATATAATAAATATATAAAATTATATATTTCAGGCGTGTGCCCCATGTGTCGTATCTTGCATTTTTTAAAAATTAGCGTGTCGACGTGTCCGTGTCGTATCCGTGTCCATGTCTATGCTTCTTAGCACAAAAAGAAAGTTGGTTTTTAAAAGGGAACAACCAGCTCCAGGCTCTGTTTAGATTTTGGAGTAAACATTCCCAACTCAACAAAATGATGTTTAATGAAACAATCAAATCACTCATTGCTCCATCAGTATAACAGGAACACGTCTAGTACCATATCACAAATAAAATTCATTTAAGCATATGCTAGCACCCTGAATCGATTGGACCAACCATGTAATGGTCTTATAGTTAATACATACAGAACGCATTCAAGAAGGGTATACACTCTGCTCCAGTAAAAGGATGAATGACTATGGAATTGGGCAAACAAGAAAGAACCATGTATGACAAGAAACATTCCTTCCAGGTTTCATGTAATAACTAAAACGACAACATATAATAAGCAAACATGCTATGAGAATACGAAAGCCTATTTTCCTTTCAAAGGGAATGATTGTACTGAAATCAGTGATTTAGCTATTTAAACAATATTACATAAATGTGTAGCAATTCCACAAATCCTATCATTATATCATAAAACCAAGGGTTCCAGTACACTTAGGGGTTGTTTGGGGTGTCCTAAATAAGTGTACTTTTTGTCTTTTTGAACTAAAAAATTGAGGAAGAAAATATAGATGTTTGGGTTAACTTTTTGACTTTTTATTGAAAAATGTGTAATAAAAAATTGTAAAAATTAGTTTGTATGAGAAAATTAGAATTGGGAGTTGTGCAGCCGTAATTGTTGACTTTTGGTGAATAGTGTTAACTTTTTAACTTTTTGAATAACTTTTTGACTTTTTGGCTTATTCTGGACTTGCCAAACTTGGCCTTAATGGCATTGTTAAAGATGTTCAAGAATGTTGAAAACTCTATACTTCGCTATTCATATATCTATATATGACAACCTTTTAAGCAATATTAACAAATCCATTACTAAAGCATGTGAGAATCACCATTTGGAGCCATTGAGAACCTTGGGAACAACCGCATGCTCAAACAAGTGGCTGAATGGCCCGTGACCCACATCATGCAGTAATCCTAGATAGAGAAACAACAAAAACATTATTAAATAGGTTGTCAAGAGAAAGTGATTTACAGTAACTACATTTAGTACCAGCAAGTTTTACTGTCTGTATATCAAAATCATCGATGCCAAGCTCCATGCCCTGCAAGGATGGTATTGTGTATAGACATAATGTTTTCAGTAATAGGATCCAGAATAAGAATGATTAGAATCATCAGATCAGAAGGACAGTTTCCTACTTGGTAGCTTTTGATTTTATGAATTGCGTCACCAGCCAGACTATATACCCCAAGTGAATGCTCAAACCGAGAATGTACAGCCCCAGGATAAACCATGTATGTTACACCTGAAGTGTTAGTAAAATATAACTTAGTAACAACTTTAAGCCTCTCAGCCTTGCAGTAGAAAGCAATAATTATATAGATAAAGTTGGGAAAATGGCTGTGTAAGGGACACCAATAACTTACTGGAAAATTTATTGTAGCTAATATGATTAAGTTTTTTATGAATACTAGAAAAGGCATTCTTTCACTTGACCACAAAACATGTTATCAATTTCAGTAGTTTACAACAAGCACAGGATCAGCTCAATTTAATAGTGACAAACATAAATAAGAATTGAGCAGTTAAACAGGTGTCACGAGTAGCTTCTGTAGGCTGTACTCTTCATTTGATTTAATAATTAAATTTATCATCATGCTGTTTATTGATTAAATTTGGCACTCCAATGACAACTTTCATTATAGAGATCAATGATCAAATAGACAAGCTATGCTACAACTTTTATATTACACATAAAAGTTGAGGTAAAGACAACCAAGATCACAGTACCGCACCAAACAGAAATTTGAAGGGATACAAAGGAGATGCATGTTTTGTACTCCAACCTTTACTGAACTTGCACAGATAAATGAGGCTGCATTCCTCTCAATTACACACAGCAACTTTCTTTCATAATTTAGATTGCAAACATTTTGGTTGGAACATCCCAAAATGTTTCCTTCTTGAAACATCTATCATCCAAAAGTTTAAATTTAAAATCCTAAGGTTGAATGGGGTGACACCGACAAGTGTGTATGCCACATGTTCTATGTGCCTGTTGGTGCTTTAATTGAAGTTCTTATGTCTGATGTCTGGCTGATATTTCATTTTCAATGTTCTAGTCAAATTAAACCGATGAAGTCAATAATAAATTTTGTTAGATACAATCATAACTATGTTTCCTTATTCAATTGTGCCATAGAATTGAGTAATGAAGACAAAAGAGAGAAGAAATCTATACAAGTGAAGTGACAAAGCATGACTCGTTTATATTTAAATTTTGCTATGTGGACTGAAAAATATATGTCTTTGAAGTCCAATCTATTTATCTACCCAAAGTAGAAAGGGATAAACTCTCTGAGATTTATTTAGAGAATTTCTATTCTGATATGTATAAATCAGAATGAAGTTGTTAAAATGTTGAAAAAGTTAAAGATGCAGCACATTTTTCAAGAATCACAAAAGGGAAAAATCTACACAAGTCATGAACTTATTTTCTTATTTATGAACTTCTCAAAAAAAAAGCCTCACCGAGTTGCTTTAGATCACGAAGTCTGCAATATGTGGAAAATTATCACAGCATTAGTCAATGAAGCAACTATAGAGAATAAAAGTCAAATGAGCACTCTACAGAAAAGGAGACAAAAGAAAAAAAGAAAAAGAAATTTACATTGTCAAAATCAGACTTACCTCTGAAACTGCTCAGTATCGATGAACTTCAAAGTGAGCTGCAATCCAGAGATAGTAATTTTGAGTTTTTATTTAATTATAATTATCTGAATAGCCTAACAGGAGTTTAGATGGATCAATAACGAATATAAATTAGACATGTATCAGTCTATTAAAAAATTGAGAAAATATAAATAAATAAAAAAGAAAAAAAAATAGCTTAAAATAAAGAAAGAAATTTGCAAAAAAAGAAAAGAAAAACAGAGACGACAAGAAGAAATTAGGCTACCAAACCAAAAACAGTATTCTCATGGCCAAAAAGAAGAGCTATATACAAAAATTCAAAGCTCATGCATACAGAGCTCCACGTAAAACATCTCTAACAGACCAGCCTTCAAAAAATCAAGGATGTCAAGTTTAAATCAATAATTCTTTATCATTTCCATCTCCTCTTCTTAGTTTTTTAAAATTTTAGATTAAATATAGAAAACACATTTAAAACCTCCATTCGACTCTGAATTTCTTAATTTGAATCCCTTTCAATTAGCTCCGAAAGCAACAATAAAGAAATAAAATATCGATTCAGTTTCAAATTTCGTACATACGAACACATAAACACGTGTATACATATATGCATACATGTGATATGTGAGTTGTACATGATATCACTCAGAATCAATCGGAAGTACAAAATTCTATCAACTCCAGCAAAATACAGAGTCTGGAGCATCAAATAGTTCTACAACTCCGTGTGATTCACAAAATCAAAAATAGAAACAGTTCGGACAATGAAAACACAAACACTAATTTGAAAAATAATAAAAACGAAATGCAAAAAAAAAAAAAAAAAAGAAGAAACATAAGAATTTGAAGACGTTACTGGATCGAGATAGATGTTTCCGTGGACGTTATCGTAAACGTTCTTCGAGAATCGGCGATCCTCCATTGATGCCGCGTAGCTGAAGCTCGGAAGGTCGTTGTTGTTTGAAGCTCCCATTGTGCGAGAGAGAGAGCGAGTTAGGGTTTTGAACTGATTGAAAACAGAGAGAGAGAGAGAGAGAGAGAGATGACAGGTAACTTGAGTGTGGGAGAGAGGAAACAGTAATATTCCCTACAGGAATGCTGGAATGGGGGGGCGAGGGAGAGAAGTGACAGGTAAGCTAAATTTCAGATGGAGTACAATAATGGGCACAGAAAAAAAATAAAAATAAGATATTTTGTACTATCTATTTTAATTTTTTTTTTAAATTTATAGTATAACTTTTTAAAAAAAAAATTACTTATTTTTAAAATACTTTTTACAATAAAATTAATATTGAATAATATTTCAAAAATATTTATTTATTTTGTTATGTAAATTGATGTGACACTTTTTACATCAATAAATTATGAAAAAATTACAAATTAGTTATATTATATTAAATGAATCAAAAAAAGTTATATTATCTTAAAGTAATTATATATTTTAAAAAAAAATCATGATTTTAATAATTAAAGTATACTAAGTTCGCTGTGAACTTGTAATTATTTCTTAAGCTTAGAGTTATTTTAGGAAGATAGTTAAAAGTTAATTTTTTGATTTTTTTTAATTTTTTTTAAAATCATGTAAAAATGTGAGAGAAGATATGACTTAAAATAAATTAAAAATTAATTTTTGACTTTTAATTAGCTTTGCAAAAAAGGAATTAATATTGATTTGTTGTTTCGTCCTAAATTATCTCATGAGCAATGGTAGAGGGCTCAAATTCTGTAGCTCAAATGTGGCTCAAATGGCCAAAACGACGTCGTTTTGAGTACAAAACAACATCAAAATGGCCAAAACGACGTCGTTTTGGCCATTTGAGCCACATTTGAGCCACAGAATTAGGGCCCCAAACATTTTTCTTATCTCATTTTACATTCTAAAACTTTATAACTACATATCACATTAGCCAATAAAAAATATTTTTTAAAAAATATTTAAGGTAAATTACACTCAATTTTTTTTTAAAATTTGACAAAAATACAATTAGTCTTATAAATTTAATATAATTATATTAAATTCTCTTTTGATAAGATCAAAATCATCCAAATTAATGTAGATGGTCAATAAATATATAAATAAAAACAAATATATATTTTAGTATAAAAGATATAATAATATTATTTTTTTTAATCATATTACTCACGAATTATTAGTAAAAATAATGTAAGTATTACTATATATAAATTAACATTTCTAAAAAAATTGGATTTTATGTTAAAAATATAAAATTAATTAAGATAAATTACAAATACACCCTTGAGATTTGATTAAAATACGAATCGCCTCCTGTAATTTTGAAAATTACATTTCACCTCTGATGTTTTTAATTTCATAACAAATCGTCTCTTTTATTAAAAAATCATCAAGTCAATTAACAATTTTAAAAATGTGAAAAATATGTTTTAATTAATGATTTAAATAATTTTATTATTGTATAGGAGATCAATTATGAATTTTATTTTTTATTTAATTCTGTTAAATTAAAAATTCTAATAAGGGATATTTATAATTTTTCAAACCATAAAAATAATCTGTATTTTAAGTAAATCTTAAGGAATATATTTATAATTTACCAATTAATTGTATTGTTAAAGATGCACTTGTAATTTCTCCAAATATTTGGAGCATGAGTAAGCATTACATTCACGGTATGACATGTCATGAGTTGCTTTTGACAACACTTGCGTGTCAATGCATAGTTTTGAATCGGTGGAATATCTAACAAAGCAATAATATTATATATGCGATACATTTATAATTATTGATATATTGAATCTTGTGTTAGTTTCATTAATATTAAAAAATTATGAATGTATCACTTAAAACAATGTATATTGGGCTAGTTTGGCATATACTAAATAAGTCAAAAAGTCAAAAAGTCACTATCTTATTTAAGTCACATCATCTTATTTAAATCACATCACCTCTCTAACACATCACATCAAACCCAACCCAAACCCACCAATAAGTCAAAAAGTGCACTTATATATATATATATATATATATACATATATGAATGAACAATAAATATAGAGTTAATTATCTAAAAGTTTTATTTGCAAATATTATGGTAGCTAAGTTCAGGTCTTATCTAAGATTTTTTGAACTAATAAGTCCTATTTAATAAAATAGATAATATTATCAGTTTTTTTCTAATTTTTAAAATTAAGAATATTATCAATTTTGTATAATAATGTTCTAGATAATTGTGTCAGTAACTGATAAAAAAATAAAGTATGAGATTAAACGTTTTTGTCTTTCTACTTATTGGTTTGATTTAACTATCCAATAAAACAGATAACATTATCAGTTTTTTTCTGTTTTAAAACTGAGAACATTATTAATTTTTTCATTTTTAAAGTAATTTTTTTTCCCGGTTTTGCATATCAATGTTCCATCATCTTGTCCTTCTAATTTATTTATTTTTTGCACATAATTTTTTAATTTTTTTTAATTTTAAAGTTTTAAAAATCAAAATAAATGTCAAATTATCATGTTTCTTTATAGATAATCATAAATGATGAACAATTATTATTTGGAGGGTAATTTTGACTATTCAAAATTTAATGGGACTTGAAAGTTTAAAAAATCTTAGTTAAGACTTAATGAAGTTAAGTTCATAAATTAAAATTTGTGTGTAAATATCCCATAAATATAATGGTAATGGTATTATGTAATGGTACCGTTAATTAATAAAAAAGATCTAATATTATGGCATCAATTTATATGATTGAATTAGTAAAAATAAAAATAATTATCTAATTTTATTTAGATTTTTTTATCAAGTAAAATTGTGTCATAAATTGTGTCCAAGAGAAGAAGTCATCATCACATCAATGGGTAGAATTACATCCTACAACTCTTTTAGAGCTTCTATTTTAGATCTTTTAAACATTTTTGTTATGTAATTTAAGATTCTTATATAATAAAAATCACAATCAATATTATAAAAAAAATGTCATGTACCTTTTTATTATTTAGAAAGAAAAAAAACAAAATAAAACAAAACAAAACCGGCGTGTACAGAACGAAACCAAATTGGGAATAGGGAATTAAACCTTTTAGTTTAGGATATACCCCGTATGTTGTACTAGTTTCTCAATTTGGTCTTTAATTTTTTATTTATTTTTTAATTTTTAGTGTAACCCATCACATGTCAAGATTAGATTAAGTGTGACAATAAAACACCCCATAGGCCTAAAAATATCGCGTTGGCTGTGAAGTGTGACAATAAAATATATTATTATATTTAAATTTAAGTTTAAATTAGAGATGTAGATTAATTGTATTAATATATTACATGTCAATGGTTAATGTGATATTTTTTTGTCTAATTTTGAAAAAATAAATAATTGAGAGTAAATCGAAAACGTGAAGGCCAAATTAAAAAAATTAATTTAAAAGTCAAACTGAGGAGCAATTTGGAAACTTGGTAAAAAGTTAGCGTTTTGACTTTTTATCAAGTTCTTACAAAAAAAAAAAATCACAGTTTTTATGCCAAAAAAATCATGAAAAAAGCCAAAAAATTAGTTTTTTACTAATTTTTCAAAACACTCTTGAAAGTGATAAAACGTAAAAGAAGCAAAGTTTAAGGTAGTGTTTTGTAAAATTTTAGAATTATGATTTGAAAATAAAGTTGTATTTTGAATTTGTGAGTTTTGGAATTATGATTTGAAAAAAGAAATTTTGTTTGGTTATGAGTTTTGAAAAGAGTTTTGAATTGAGTTTTGACTTTTTGATGTGACATATAAAATAAGAAAAAGTTGTTTGGTTATGAATTTTGAAAATTAATTCAAAAACTTATAACTCATAACCAAACACAAAATTCAAAACTCTAATGAAAATTTTATTAAAAACTTATAATCAAACTCTTTTTAAAATTCAATTCAAAAAAATAATTTGTCATTTTGGTCTAAAAAAATAATTTTTATATTTAAAAAAATCAAAAGCAAATATAATTTTTTTTCCAAATAATAGGTGGTGATTGGCGATTGACGATTGCAAGAAAAAAAAAAATACACTGTTTTGGTCAACTGACCAGATGTATGAGAGGATGACCAAGTAGATTCAAAATTCAAAAACTCTTCTTCTTTTTAGAATTGAGAAGATAAAAGAGAGAGAGTATGTACCAATCTGTCAAATATAAAAGAAAAGGGTCGTGCTACATCCCTCTAATTTGGGGAGCCCTAATCCCCCGAAAATTGAGACCAAGGCAAAAAAATAAAATAAAATAAAATAAAATTCTCCAAAACGACGTCGTTTTGGGGATTAGGGGGATTAGGAGAGGCTTTTTTAGGACTCCAAATTATTTCCCAAAAGAAAAATATATTTTAAAATGTGTGATAGAATCATATTTTCAAAACTCTATCCAAATAATGCATGCAAACGGAAGGCTGAAATTGTGACTCTAAAATAAAATTTAGCTTGTTGGTCGATTCTTGAGTTTCTATATGGGTTAGATCATCATCTCCAACGGTTCAGCAAACCTGATATTCATCAAAAATTTTGAAAAAACAATCAACAACGTTTCACCAAACAATTCATCAAACTGAGGACAGAATACTGATTTCATCAAAACACTGTTTGTGACCGTAGGGGGAGACCAATCGGTCAACCAGTCGGTTGCCCGGCCGGTTGACCAACCGGTCGACCGCCTAAAGGTTCAAACGGTTCGAAGAAAAGGTTCAAACAGTAAAATAAAAAATAATAAAGTTTTTTTTTCCTAACTGGTCGACCAGCCGGTCGACCACTAAAAGGTTCAAAAAAAAAAAAAAAAAAATCGCTTAACCGGTCGACCACCCGGTTGTCCCCGGCACAAATTTAATGAAAGTACACCGTTAGAGCGAGTGGTATCAAATTTAGTGAAAAATCTGATTCACCATTGGAGATGCTCTTACGAAAATGAAAAGATCTCCATAACTTGCATTACCTTGCAGATAATAAAAAATATATAATGTTACAATAATTTTCATCATGTGGTATTTATATAGATCAGTTACGACTCATAGTGGTCATGTAAGGACCCCAAAATGCATATAAGAAATCATTGGTATTTAACTATGAGATGAGGTATTTTAATTTAATTATATCTTTTGGAATTGAAGCATTATCTATTGAGTTACGGATTTAAAATTGAAA